TTAAAGATTATTTCGATTTTATTAAAGGTTTATTTTTATATTCTTTTAAGATTTTTTATCATTATTTTTAGATTAATTTATGATTTCTTTGTGTTTTGTTTATAATTTATTTTTAATTTGTTTTGGATTGATTAAAGCTTAATTAGGATTATTAAAGATTATTTAAAGCTTATTTAAGACTCTATTAGACTTGATAGAATTGTTGCATTTTTACTTACCTTCTACAGTTAGGTTCTTGATGCATTCTCAAGCAAAAAAACTTGTAATATAATAATACTTATAATTTGGATCATTGTACCAAATATATCTCACTAAAAATCTCTTTGATCCTTTAGCCAATTGTGAAGCATCTAACCTTGTATTTTTCTTTAAAGCATTCATTTCTACTTTCAATTCTTTGATGCTTCTCATCAATTTTTTAAGGATATCTTTGCCTATAGTCTTATCTTTTTAAGAGCTTGATAGAACAGAATCAAATAAAGTTGTTGTATGAGCCTTCATAACTATCATTAATATTACTTCTATTCTTGTCCCTAATCCTTTAGCCTTTATATATTATTATTTGGTAATAAAGCTCATTGCTTTTTCTGATCTTCTCCAATTGGTAGTAAATCCACCTTCTCCCTTCATCTTAAAAAAAGAAAAGCAATCTATCTTTTAATGCCTCATTTGTAACTTGTAAAAATAACTTTGATTTCTTCACCTCTAAAAGGTACTTCTTAAATAATGAGAATTATCCAAATTTCTTTTCAAATTTTATTAGTAGTTTTTTTGATCCCATATATTTATCTAATTATTGCTCCACTCAATCAAAAAATCTTCCCTTTGATATTCTTTTAGTCTTTTCATCAAAGTATTCATTTTTTAATTTTTCTTCAAATCTAACTTATGTGTTCATATAGATGCTTTCATGTAATTGTCTCACTTTTTTTTTTTTTTTTTTTTTTTTTTTTTGTTACAATAGTTAAATGAAAGGTCTCAAACATCTTGCCTTTGAAACTTGATAGATTTCTATTTCACAAGTATAGACCTTCAAAAATATAGTGATATTCTTTCCATCAAATCTTCCTACTTTACCAATAGCATTCTACAATGCTTTGGTGGCCCCTTGCCTATTTGCATTGGCAACTTATTGAGCCATGATCATGTGCATAGTCCTTAAAAATTCTTTCATAAGATTCTAACTACCTCCTCTATTTGAATTTTCTTACTTTTTATCTTCTATCTTGCCTTAACTAATTTAATAGCTCTAAAGTTGCTGTCTATAGAAGCATCGAATGTTGGAATAAGAGTGTTTGCTTAAAAAAAACATAAGATTTATAGCTGCAACTAGATATGGTCAAATAATATCAAAGATATGAATCTTGAAAAAAGAGATCCTCAATACACTCTTGTGTAACTTAAAAAGATTAAGAATTTGCTAAAGATGGTCGTATATTGAACTAAAATGGCTATTGCCAAAGACAAGAAGACTAGAAAGTCTTGAAACAAAACTAAGGACTAGAAAGACATTGAGAAGAGTGAAAGAAGCTTCATTCTTGCCTTCACATAAACTCTTAATTAGGAGCTATGTGGCAATATCCTATAGGACCTCTAAAACGTGTTGACTTTGCAAGATACATATCTTAACTTCCAAGATAAGTTTTTTATATATATGCCACATAATAAGCTTATTTTACAAGCTACCAACACGTTGTTAACTTGTTAATCAAGCTTCTAACCTACCAATCAACTACAAACACATGTAAAGTCAAAGCAACGTCTTTGAAGCTTCTAAGAAGCATTTCTTAAAAATATTATGAAATAAATCTACTTAATCATATAGATAAATATTAAAATAAATATGTATGTTTGTGACAAATAGTAACTTTCATTCAATGAAGTCCACTACTTCATACTTTTGATAATATGTAAGAGCTATCATCTTTGCTTTATTCAACCATGCACTATAGATCTATAGATCATTAGATTTGAGCATATGATGGTTTTTTAGAGAGTTATTTAGTCTATACATATACATATCAAATTTTACTTGTTAATTTTTTCTATAATATATTTATGAACAAACAAAGCTAATAATTATATTAATATAAGGAAATTGATTCTTTTTTATCTAAAAATTTATTTTATATTTATAATAATTCTTTTCAAAGTAAATGAAGGCTTTTTAAAAAATTAATAAAGAAAATAATCACTTTTCAAAATCTCCAAACTAAAATATTAAAAAAATATAAAAAACTCTAAAGAAGACCTTAAAAAGTAGCTTCTTGTCTTCTTATTCTAAAACACATTCCATCTTCATGCTAACTCTTCTTGGAGCAAGTAAGAACTTTTTAAAAAATTAATAAAGAGAAGAGTTATTTTTTAAAATCTATTTACAAAATATAAAAAATAATCCGAGGAAAAAACCTCAATGAATAGCTGATTATTTTTAAAGAAGAGAGCTTGAGCAAAGAAAAAAGAAAAAAGGATCTAAAAATCAACACAAGTCCATGTTAGTCCACCTTAGAATATATCTCTTTACCTTAGTACCATACCATTCCATCTTAAGTCTATATCAATCTATCTTGACTTATTTTTGGAGTTAAATTATCAATATTTATGATAATAATAATAATTATTATTATTATTTTATTATTTTATTTCTTTATTTTTTATTATAAATCAAATTTTTATAATATTTTATTTTATTTTATTGTTACATAATATATTACTTTTTAATACAATAATATATCTTTTTTGAGTTATATAAGATGTGAATATCTTAATAAGAAGACAAATGCTATCGCCTCCTATAGAAGTGAAGAATAATCAAGAATTTAAGGTAGAAGAAGTCTTAGACTTGTTGTAGTGCCAAAATAGATTAAAGTATCTTATTCATTGGCATGGATATGATATTTGTTAACACATATGAAAGCGAACAAAGAATCTTGTAAATGCAATAGAGAAGGTCAAAGTTTTTCATCAACAACATCAATCAAAACCAAAATCATGAACCAAGATAATCTTTGCTATAAAAAAAATATAATTTAAAAAAATTATATTTTATCTTTTATTTGTCTTTATAATTTTTGTGCATTTATAGAGCTAAGGAGATGAAAAATCAACAACAAACAAATTTAATTGAAAAGCTACTATTCCTAACTTATTAGATAAGACATTGCAATTATTATAATCTTTATTTTTAATCTAATTTCAAGGATCTCTAGTTTTCTAGCCTTTTAGCAATAGCCATTTTAGTTTTTTTTAATATACATACTTTTTTATTTTCATTTTTTCATCTTTCTTTGAAAAAAATCTCATTTATTTATTTGCTTTCATCAAGTTTTTATCCTTGATACAAAGTGCCACATCTTGTGTCATTCTTTTGTTTGCATCTTCTTTCTCAACAATGTAGTATTGCAAAAATCCAACTTTAATTAATTTGATCTCTAAGATGGTGACTCCAATGGAAATTTTACAGTGATGAAAGTTATAATGTATAAATTTGAGGATGTAGAAGAAGATACAAATCTTACTTTCTTTGCATAATTGTGTTATCTATAACTTCAATGGTATAAATAACTTGCTCTACAAGTATATAGATTGCAAAATATAATACCTTTCACGTGGCTATTAGGTTTTTATTTAAAGTAAATTGGTTGGAGATAGAAATTGCAAAGAAGATATTTCATAGATAAAACTATAAATATTTTGAATAAGAAGTATCAACTATATTAAGGGTGTTTTATCCAAATATTATATTCTTACATTATTGTAATTCAAATAATTATAAATTCTCTATTAGTAAGGAATTGAACAATAAAGATCTTATGTCTTTAATGCAAAACAAGTTGCAAAATATTAATCTTAATGCACCATTCTGTAATTTTGTAGCCATTGTCATCATTCTTCAAATTATAAAATATATGTTTTGTTTTCACTCAAAGGATATTATGCACAAAGACTTAAAACTAGACAATATTTTGGTGAAGATAACAAACATAGAAAATAGGTACATACATATCAAATTGGTAGATTTTAGAATGTCCAAAACCAAAAAAAGTAGTTGTTTTACTCAAATACTTAATATATGGCTCCAAATGTGATTAAAATCCATATGCCCGCAAGTGCAAATATACAAAAGTATTGACCAAAAAGTGATGCATATAGTTTTGGTATGGTGTATTATGAAATACTACTTGGAAAAGTCCCTTTCTCAAATTTAATTCTTAACAAAACAAAGAGAAAGATAATAAGTGGTGATTGCCTACCTCTAGTTTATCATTGTCCACCACTTTTGGAGATTTTGATAGAAGATTGTTGGAAATTTAATCTCAAATATTGTTCAATGTTTTTGGAGAATTTCAAGGTATTAAGGTATATAAAGTACTTATTTATGATATCATTCTTAAGTTTGATAATAATACCAATGAATCAATGATTCTCACATCTTTGACTACCTCAAGAATAAGTGAGTCTTCAAGCTTGATATCAATAGTAATATTACAAACTTAAATTCAATATAGTATTCCAAAATAAAAATGAAGACATCTAATAAATTCCAATAATCATTAATATTTTTATTTTATAATATTATTAACATAAATATTGATACAGACAGAATTATTACATTCTAAATATTAGCATGTATTAAATTTATCCACATACATATGTTTGACAAATTGCCATCAAGCAAAGTGATATAGAAGCCCATTTTTACAACCAAATTGGCCTGAAAGAGTGACAGGAGGTTCTGCTTATGTCTTCAGCTAATTCAAGAACAACGCTATCAAATATAACTAATGCCCAAATGAAAAAACGTGTAGCTAAAAAAGAAAAGTTTTCCTGAGACACAAATACTTCTTTTCAGATCCAACCATTGAAGTTCACTATAAAATCCTAAACTTATATTATGTTTTAGACTTATTTCTACTTTACGAATGAAAGATGCCGACTAAAAAGGACAAAAATTTGCTGACCTCATCTAGAACCAGAAGCAGGTTCAGTGCTCTATCAAAAGCAGTTTAATAATGTTTTATTTTTTGTTTTTTCCCCTCTAATCCTGACTTTGAATTCTTACAATGAGTTTTTATAGTACTTGGCGTCATGTCATATGCTGTAATGAAACATCTATGCGTTAAAGAAGTGCGTGTGTATCTTACGACTCAACATCAACCTGTTAAGTACCAAAAAAAGCTGCTTCACGAAGGTTCTAAATGACTACCTCAAGAGCTAAATACATATCGCGTACATATCTGTCTCTAAACAAACTAAACAGCTACGATATATGAGCAATATTGTGGCAGGTCTACATAGATATTGAAAACAAAAAAAAAATGGAACTACAAGCGGGAGTCATATTAGATGTTTCATAAACGCGAATGACCTACCAAAATCTAGTTTATCACCTAGGATTCTGTGTGCGAAAGAAGCAAGAAAGATCAAGGGTTACAAGACTTCAGAGGCACTAGTTTGTGCTTTCCTCCTACAGCTTGGATATGATAAATACGACACACAATGCCATAATGAGAAAGTTCCTTTTTTGAAAATCTGCAGTCACATCCACAAGTGTGTCTCAACATTTCAAGTTCCCGAATGAGGGATTAAAGAGCTGATCAAACATGACAGCTTAAGCATCTTCAAGCTCCACAAAAATAATCACAATTCTCACTCACGTATTAATAGGACTCACCGATTGTCCAAGAGGCCATCGAAGATTCTGGAATGGCTGACAGAGCAACCGGAGCTGCACAAACATTTCAACGTTCAACTCGAGAGATTTGAGTCCCTATTAAACTTTAGTAAAATAGGAAAGTCTTGACATAGTTGAATTCAAGTTGATCAGTTCCTGCACTACGCATTCTCACACATTGGCTCAAATCAATCTGTTTGGCTACCACAATAGCTAACCAGAATTGTCAAAGTTTCGATATCTAAGCTCTTGTTCCATGTATGAGAACATCCTTTAACAATCCAAACCACTCTATTAGGTCACGACGGACGAGAAACCTTACATCGACCACACACAGAATATGTTGCATCAGTCTTGAGAGTTTGAACCCAGGGAGTCGCTATATCATCATTTAAATCGCAGGTAAAGTCGATGCATGTAACGTTGCTCATAATGTCGGAAGGTAAACTTGAAAGTAAACAACCTACATGTAAGACTTACACTTTAACTGCCTCTCTCAAGGAAAACCAAATGTGCCACTGCTGAGTATAATGGATGTTCCAACACTGTGAATACCTAACATTACAGAATCAGCACAAAACGAGCTACGAGCGGAAGTTGAATATGCCTGTAGTATTTTATGAAAGCAAGCATTTTGCAATGCACTACCTAATCTAAACTTATATAAGTGGATCGAAACTCAAAGTTAACTTGAAGTTGTACCTTGTCCACCAACTCCTGCTTGACAAACCATAGATACATACCAACATGAGATGCAACTCGTAAGAAATTATGCAAGTTGTGTCACAACTCAGCTCTCTATTACAATTAACACATAACGATCGTAGGAAATTAACATCTTTTCTTATCAGCAACAAAAGTAAAACCTAAAAGAGAGAGAAAAAAAAAACAAAACAAAACAAAACAAAAGAAACAATAAAAACTGCTTCAGAAAAAAATGATATCTTCAGATAAGATTGTGAAAGCAGGATGCGTGTGAAGATAGATATCAGAGCATGCAATAGTCAAGGAATCGACTGCGGCAAAAATTTCTTTCAAATCTACACTAAAATGGATCGATACTTATGGGTGCATCCCACTTGTTTAAACTGTTGCAGATTCTTAGAAAGCAATCCGATCCCCGAGACCAAAATTAAAGCATATCAACATTATACCAACCTTGAAGAGAGAAATTCTTAAGGTCGATTCCACACAAGAAGTAAATATCTGTAAAGACGGACATATTTTGAAGCATGGAAGCCAAGAATGTCACACAGCGGAGCGCATGCAAATTAGTAATCAACATCTGCTGCTGAACCTCCAACAAGTATCCGTCTATGGCTCTGCAACAAGTCGCACTGGATGGCGTACTTGAGCAGCCACATGCTTTGGCAACAGGCATGGGATCTCCAAATTCCAGAGGACACTCGCACATGAATGCTAGTAGTTGTCAGTGTATATCGCTACAAGTAAAGAGACACCGACGAGTTTGGAAACCCACCCTAGAAACTCACGACGCTGACTACAGTGTTAGAGAGCCAACTTTCTCTTCTCGAGACCATGGCGAACCAAAACGACAATTTGATAACATCAATAATCGACTAAATTGTTAAGGATGAGCTAATTACGTCTAGTTTTAACTTCAAATTGGAGTATTTCCAAATGAACGGCTGCTTGTCCATTCTGTCTAGATATGTTCCTGCAAGCAAATTAAAATATGATTTCTTGAAACAGAAAAATGTGATACTTGATGCTTCAGTTGTCAAGCCCTCCTTGGAAACATACAACCTTGATGGACATTCACATGAAAAATTCAGCACACAATTATCACGTCAGCAACAGAGTACATAAAGGGTATAGCCATTACGAAACATCATTCCTCACCTTTGTTGACACGGCAGCTGATGAGGTTACGCAACATGGTGTTTGTTGCATCTAGACCCAGCTTATTTGCCAACCATGCAAGGACCATGTTTTTGCAATCAACCACCATCTGCTGTTCACCTGACGTTTACATTGACCTGGATCATCTACAAGCTGCCCAGCCATTTGAGTGGCTATGTCTATGACCTGTGATTGACAAATAGGTTCTTCGATGCACTCCTTTAGAGGGTCCACCGAATGGCATGCATCCAATAACTTAGTAGTATTTATCATCTCTTCCAGTTGGCTAACCTTGGTAACTGGACATAAACCACTGGTAAGATTAGCAGGTTGAGCAGCACAAAGATCTCCTAAGGATGTGTTGGCTCCCAAACTAACCATAAGATTTTGGGAGTCTGAAAAGCAGTATTGAGATTCTGTAACGTTCAGCCCAAGATTGCCCGAGTCTAGGCTGTATTGACCCAGAGAGACTTGAAAAAAGGCTCTCAAGTTGTGGACAACAGATGACACTTCCAACGTAGAGTGCTAGATGGGCTGGACAATCTCCAGCAGTTCGAATAAGAGTCCCTTCTAACGTTGAAAAATTAAAAGGACAGAAACCTGTGGGACAAATTCAAAAAGCACTGGGATTGAGATTCAGATGCTCAACACGTTTTGGGCAAGAACTATTTGATTCCAATACTAAGCATCATTTCTGTTCACGACTCAGGACAGCAGCTAAAGTAGTTAATAATCCAGATAATTATTTTATCTGATAGTTCAGGCGTAGATGGATTAGTAATGACTGGAATCTCCCATGGAGGGGGAGCCATGAATGGAAAAGTTCTCGTCGGAGCTTCTACAGGCTCCGAAGCTGGAGTTGACGCAGTTGGAAAAGGTGTCGGAGTGTTCAGGTTTTAGGGTTTAGGTTTTAGGATTTTGTTTTTGTAATCTAAATCAATCTAAATTTGGAATAAATAACATTAACAAGGACACAAGTAAAATTAAAGAAGCATAATTTGCAACTATCCTACCAAATAAAAATTTCTTCAAAGGATGGTAGTATATCATTTATTTTTTTACAAATTAAGTTTTAAAATTATAAATTTTATTTTTAATGGTGAATAGTTTTCTACATTTAAAGCACTAAAAATATTTCTTTAAATTATCTTTTTACTTCTTAATCTTGCCTTCATTTGTACTAGCTACAATAAATATTTTGTAGAAGCTTTGTAAAGACCACAAGGCTTGTAGTTCAAGCATCAAGTTGTAGATTACTTCTAAGTCAACTTTCTAAAATTCAAAAACTCAATAGACAAGTTTCAATAGCTATATGGCATAACTATAGGAATCTAAATTTCAAATCTCTATCCAAAAACATTCTTCAAAGTTTCTCAAAGAAGATATTATCTACCCAACATATTCTACCTACTTTTGCCAACTTCTATTTACTTAAGTAATATAGGCATCTATTTTAATCTCCAACTTAAGAATATTAAAAAAGACATGATTATTAATATAATAATACAATGATATTAATTATTATAACATCAAGATAAGAGCTAATAAAAAATAAAAAAATATTTATAATCTCTAAAGATTATTAATTTATAAATTTTATTTTATTTAGTATTTATAAAAAAACTATAAAATAAATATTGTAGAATTCATAATATGTAGTAATTTATTCATAAGATTTTGGTACTATTGATTTAAAAATATAATAAATATAATTGCATTAATATTTACATAAAGTATTATAAGTTATGCAAAAATCTAAGTATTTTATAACTCCAACATAGTATATTTGATTGTAAATTCTAAGCAAAGATATGTATCAAGCTAAGATCTAATGAAATATAGATAAATATATATATATATATATATATAGCATGGCAACCATTCAACATTTCTACTACCATGGCAACCAGAACATTATGTTTAGATACATTGTAATTGTTTTAGTTTATTTTAAATAAATATTATACATGTAGAGCATGAAGATCATGAAGCTGAAGCTTTGAATCAGGAATCCATGAGGATCCATTGCCGTAAAGGGGCTGCCATGCTCATAGGATGTATCCTTTGACCTCTACAAACTAGGTTTTATTTTGTAAAAACAATTGGCATGTCGTGAATACGTTGCAATTAACTGCGCAGGAAAGAAAAGTCTTTTATATTTCCTTCTTTCTTTGTTATCATGCAACAAGGTTGCTTAATAGTAATTCTCTCTTAGTTTTTTAGTTTACTAGCTATATGTTATGAATGACATGTTTTTAAAAAATTTGGCTTCATATTATTAGAGCTGCAACATCTCCATTGTAAAACATCAGCAACATGAGCATCAACTGATGTAAATTACTTCAGCAACTACAATCAAGCGAGGGATGAATAGCCTTTGGGATGGACATCGTCGACTCATAGCTTCAAGTGCATCCATGATTCCAGCAAATCTAGGAATACATCTCATGCTGTGCAATAGTAGGATATGTTGTGCACTCCCACAAGTTGAGTAGTATATCCGTAATTTCTTTCTAATCTTAAACAATTCCAATTTTAGGCTATTACAAAGACACTCATTGCACATGGTACTAATAGTTTAAGAATTGAAAGGTTCATACAAAGGAAACAACTGATCATTGTACTAATTCTGAGATATAATATGAGGTCGATCTCCATTTTCCGCTTGGAGACTCAAATTTAGAGCTAATTTGAAGGCCAATTATTTTGTTAATGGACATAGGAGTTTACACCTAGCTTCAATCCTAATCAGGCACAATCAACAAAAAAAAAAAAAAAAAAAAAAAAAAATACATAAATAGAATCCAAAAGATGGTGTGAATAAAAGCTTACTAAGTTTTTACTCAAAAGAACCTAGCTTGAAATTGAGTATTTGGTCTAAAAAGGCTAAAGAAATTGATGTGGCTTTGTAATGAATTTAGGAACTATTTTTCTAAGACATTGTATCAAGGTGAGCTTTCATCATCTTCTTTGATATTTCATAGTAAGGAATTCATAGATTGTATGTTGCAGAAGACTCAGAACATGAACATCTTGTAGGGATGGACAATGTGGATGAATTTATTCCTACATGCTTAGAAACAAAAAAATCTTCATTAATTTTTAAAATCCTGATTTACTTAAATCTTAATTGATTTTTTTTATTGTATTGTCTAATTGATCTCAAATTCATAATACACATCTAGCACATATATCTTCACAAACCTACAATAGTTTACTTATAGATTTGCTACAAAACTTACACAATTCACCAAAATAAGAATCTCTTTTTTATTTAATACACTGTAGATTTAGTCAAAACAATCTAGACTTTATAAATTTGACACAAAGTCAATATGAACTTAATTCCTCAAAACTAATGCTAAAATACTTCTGCATTGTGGTTATAATGTTATCTCCACAATGCAAAAGTATTTTTGCCTGGGCTTTGACATCTTTCAAACTTCAAGCATGTTGCACTAAATTAGATGTATTGGATGCAATCTCAAAGCCATTAACTACTCTCCATAATTCTACTCCACTTAAGAGAGCATCCAAATTAATACTCCAAGTGCAATAAATAATTTCATAAAACAAGGGAATTAATAGAGTACAGGAAGAATTATGAAAAGCCATAGTGGGTGGAGTTTTGCACTTACACTAAAGGAAATGAAGGATTATTAGTGCTTTGATACTATGTAAGAGAAAGAACACTAAAAATAATAAAATAAAACATAAAGTATATTAATACAATAACTTGATTACACCATATTCATAAGAGCCTTTTATATTGTCTTATGGAGTGAAGTAGTAACTTTTGTAGTAGTAATAATAATAATAATAATAATAGCACTTGCAAGTGGATTCTTTCATTTCTTTCTTTCTAGGTATTTCAAGATTCTCACTTGTTATATATTTAATTAATAATAGAGAATAAATAAATAAAAAGTAGGAAAGAAAAGAAGAAGCGGTTGGATGATGGAAATGGAATGAGAATTTGATTAACATTATCTCTCCTTGCTCTGCCAATTGGGTGTTTTGTTTGCTTCGGTTCTCATTCGTTCTGATCCTTGCAATCACTACAAATGCCACCAACATTAAAGGGTTTGCACGAAGGATCCTAGCTTGAATCCTAACCAGCCAAAATCAACAAAAAAAAAAAAACAAAAATACACCTAAGATGTATCCAAAAGATGGTGTGAATAAAAGCTTACTAAGTTCTTACTGAAAAGAACCCAGCTTGAAACTGAGTACTTGGTCTAGAAAGGGTACAGGAATCGATTTTGCTTTGTAATAAATTAACTATTTTTCTAAGTCATTGCGCCGAGGCCAGCTTTCATCATCTTCTTTGACACTTCATAGTAATGAATTCATAGATTGTACGTTGCAGAAGACTGAGCACATCGACATCATGTAGGGATGGACAACGAGGACGAATTCATCCCGGAGCCGAGGAGGATGAGGGAGCTGCTGTATTGAAATGTGCTTTCGATCACAGAGAGCCGTCGATGCGGGGTCCCGATCCACATTCCTCGGGGAGAGAAGTTGTCAAGGGGGGATTCTGCTGCCGGATGGACTCTCTTGGTTTTTTCCGGGTTTTTGTTTTCGAGAGCTCCGCTTTCTCTGGGTGCTAGGGTTGGTGCTGTTCAGGTGCGGTGTGTTGTGGTGACGGCAGCGGCGTTGCTGCAATCTTAGTTTTGCTACGTTTCTCCCGTTGCCATTCCGGTGGTCAATGCTCCTAGTGTGGCGACGCTGGTTTTGCATTCTCTTCCTCGCAGTCGTGCAGTTGGAGCGAGATCTGGCTTTTTGCTCGCGTTACTGTTCCCGTGGAGGGGGGCTGCTCGTCATTTAGGGCGCTTCTGCAACGCCGTCCCTGGCTGTTCTACCGTTTTTGTTGTCTGTGGCGATCCTGCTTCGGAGTGTGCTGCGATCAAGGCTGGTGGCTGCGGAAGCTCCTGTTGTCAACGTGATCTGGTTTCCGTACTTCTTCCGTTGGTCTATGGTTAGAGGGCGATACGGGTGTTCATGCTAAGGTGGTAGTTTTCGACGGCGCCTTGTTGCTCTATTGTTGTTATTGCGCCGCCGCCTACCACTGGAGTGTCGACGGGTTCCCTTTTGGGGAATCTTTTTTGCTCCCTTTTTCCAGCTTCTGCTTCGAATCGTGTTGCTGTTTGTTCTGGTCCTGCATCGAGCTGGTGCTCGGTCCATGTTCTTCTTCATAGTGTGTGAAGGGGCGTTGGATGGTGCTGGTTGCACTGTGGTGGAAGCATCAAGTGTGCGACGGTGTCTCATGATTCTGTCCCGTTTGGTGCTCTCTGGTGGCGCTTCTTTTTCGGGTTGGTGGTTCAGTGGCATTGAGGATTGTCGACGCTTTCTTGTTGCTGGCCTCGTCGTCTTCTCCTGGTGATTCTTCGGTTCTGTTCTCCACCATCTTGTTGTAGGGTAAGGCCGTTTGATGCCACTGTTGCGGTTGTGGCTGCAAATTCGACTGCTTCACCGACTGCACTCCTTGAAGTCATGGCTGCTGCTGCAAGTACTTGAAGGAAGTAGTGGACGTTTAGGTCGTGGTTGGTAGCCGTCGGGGAAATTGCGGTATTTGCCATCCGCCGACCCGCGTTTTTGTCGCCGTGGATGCTGGAGGATTAAGTCCTGCGGTGCAGTGCCGTCAATTTTGGCTGGTGGTCGACTTAATTCGGCACTTGTTGCTGTGCTCGTTCGTCTCTGACTGTTTTTGGGCTCCGGTGTTGTTCGACTATCGCTGAGTTTCCAATCATCGTCGTCGCCTTTAGTCGGCACTCTCGGTGGACTGGCGGGGTTGGCAGGTATTGTTGAATGGGAGAAATGATGTTGTGCAACTAGTAGGCGGACGCGAGTTCGCTGGTGATGTGGGTCTTAATAGCAGATATCGATGCTTAAATTTGGAGATGTGACTGTGTCAGCGAAAAGTTGAGCAAGTAACTTGACGGTCAGAGTCCCTACCGACAATTGCAGAGAGGCAACGTTGTTCAGAATTCAGTGTTGCAAGGGTGTTCGAAATGTAGTACCGATTTGTTAGTGCTGATGAGGTAAGGTGGTTGTTCATTAAAACACAAAATTGTGGTGTATGGTTGGCAGCGGAAGGTCCTCGTGAGGCAGGCATTGAAGTTGACAGCTTAGTGAAAATTTTATGTAAGCAGCTTGGTTGTCGATAGAACCGTCGGCTTCGCTGAAGAATTTCATGTGAGCAGGTAGCATCTGGAGTTCGGATAGCTTCCTGTGATACTCTTGGACTCGGAACAATTGTGATACCATTATCATCCGGCAGCCCTCTTTTCCATATCCCGAGTTTCTGGTGCAAGTCATGACTTCGCCTACCCAGTTTCATTCCTGTGAAGGGTTGTAAAGATTGGTGGCAGCTTTGCCAACCCACTTTCATTCTTGTGAAGGGTTCTGAAGATCGAAGGACTTTGAGCCGCCAGTGGGTCGGCGAGCAATTCCATTTCTTCCTACACAACTGCTATCGCAGCTACTCCAGGCTCGTTTTCGACATCTTCCACATTGCGGTGAGACTTCCGGATTGGATGAATTGTTGGATTGGATGACTAATTGAGTTGGATAAAGTTAGGTTAGGAATTTGATCAACCCATGTGGATGAACAACTTGAATGAATACTCAGGTATGGGTGAATTCTTATTGTTAGATGACATCTCATTTATGGATGAAGTTTTGTATAAAGATGAATTCTTGTCAATGGATGAGAATATCTAAATTGAGTGATGATGGAGGTACGATTTTTTATTTTGCTTGCTTGTGTTACGTTGGGCTAAATTGAGGGAGTGAGAAGTTTAGGCAATAATTGCAATTCATTGGATATTAAAATTTGGTGAATTATTGCATGGTTGAATAAGCTACCATTAGGGTGGTAATACTAATCTTGCAAGAATCTAATCTAGTTTCTCATAAGTCAAATACTATTATTTGATGTGTGCATCTTCAACAGGTGATAAGGCCATTTCCTAGTAATAAATTTGAGCATCCTAAAGCACTATTTTCGAATTATGGCTAGGTTGGATCCTACAACTCACACTTCAGAATCAATGTTGCCAAATGTTAATGGTTTGGGTAATGCTCTTTCCACTACAAAATCAATATGTCTTGAGTTTAAAATGGTTTTAATACCTTGGTTGCATTATTGTGCTTTTTTTTATATTATGGGTGGTGTATTTTCTTGTAGGCATGTTTTTGGATTTCTGTAGTTGTAAGTAATATTGTGCTAGTCTTTACAATGTCTTTTTGATTGTATTGACAACCATATGATTTAATATTGGTCCATGGTTACGAAATACGTGCAGATCATACTCTTGGTGGAGTTGTATCAAGCAAATATTCAGAATTGCAATTGTATTTAAAAATTGCAATGAAATCCATGGAAAAAGTCCAAGAATTAACTTCTCAAAGAGAGGCAACAAATTTGCCAAAATTCAACAAAGAGCAATGTGGATATTTAGCTTATAAACTCAAGCTCACCATTGAGAGTGCTAGTTCATTCTTTCATGCCATATGCATTCGAAAAGATATTCCTGAAGAAGCTTTTGCAAGTTGTGTGGGTAATTTCAAGCTATTTGCTACAAAGGCAAAAGAAATTGAAAGTTTCATCCAAGATTGTTGCAAAAATGCATGGATCGAGGCTGCCATCATATTGACAAAAGTGCAAGAGCGTGTTTCATCAATAAGCTTTAATTTGGAATTATGTAGACTTTCATTTTTTGACTATGAGTTCAAAGCACCACTAAGCAAAACTTGGGCAAAACTTGTTGACGAAATTGAAGAGATCAATAGCATTGAAGCCAAGATTGTGCAAGAGAAAGCATTTCAAGATGAAGAGACATTGCTAAAGAAAGTGGATTTGGACTTGAAGTCATTGAATGGTGAGGAGAAAGAATTGGCTTACATTTTGCTTGAAAGACTTGAAAGCACATCAATTGCATCTTCACGAAACCTATTGAAGAGAAAATTGGATAAGATGAAGCAACAAAACCAAATAGGAAAAGGTGCATCTGCAACTGTATTTAAAGTTAATTGGTTAGAGATGGAAGTTGCAAAGAAGGTGTTTTATGGATCAAACAATAAACATTTTGAACAAGAATTGTCAACTGAATTGGGGGTGTTTCATGCGAATGTTATGTCCATACTTCACTACACTTCAAGTAAGCATCAATGCTCTATTTTCATGGAGTTGATGGATAGAGATCTTACTTCTCTAATATGGCATAGATTGGAAACTCTTCATCTAGATGTACCATTCTCTAATACAGTAGTTGTTGACATTATTCTTCAAATTGCAGAAGGTATGGTTTGTCTTCATTCAAAAGATATTGTACATAGGGACTTGAAACCAAACAATGTTTTGGTGAAGATAACAAACATGGAAATTGGATATGTACATGCCAAATTGGCAGATTTTGGAATGTCCAAAACCAAGAAAAGTAGTTGTTCTACTCAAACACTTAATATAGGTACTACTAGGTACATGGCTCTAGAAGTGATTAAAATCCATGAGCAAGGAAGTGAAAACCATGTGCTTACAAGTACAAACAAACGAAAGTATCCACCAAAAAGTGATGTGTATAGTTTTGGTATGGTGTGTTATCAAATACTAACAGGAAAAGTCCCTTTCTTAGATCTAACCAATAGTGAAGCTAAGGAAAAGATAAAGAGTGGAGAGTGCCCATCTCTACCTTATCATTGTCCACCAATTTTGAAGAGTTTAATAGAAGATTGTTGGAAATTTAATCCCAAAGATCGTCCAACTTTTTTGGAGATTTGCAAGGATTTAAGGTGTATAAAGTACTTATTGATGACATCATGTTCAAGCTTGATAATATTGCCAAATAAATCAATCAATTTTCTATCTTTTACAACCTTGAGAATATGTGAAACTTCAAGTTTGATATCATTGTTAAATAACTTGGATAATTACTCATCTTTGACTACTTGTGAAATAACTAAGTGCTCAAAGTTGACATCATTGCCAAATGAATTAGGCAAGCTCATATCTTTGACTTCCTTAAATTTAAGTGGGTGCTCGAACTTGATATCATTACCAAATGAATTGGGCAACCTCACATCTTTGGTTTTCTTCAATTTGTGTGAATGCTCAAGCTTGATAATATTGCCAAATGAATTGGGTAACTTCACAACTTTGACTTCCCTAAATTTACGTGATTGCTCAAGGTTGACATCATTGCCAAATGAATTGGGCAACCTTTCATCTTTGACTACTTTAAATATGAGTAAGTGCCGAAGTTTGGCATCATTGCCAAATGAATTGGGCAATCTCACATCTTTGACCTCCTTAAATTTAAGTGGATGTTGGGAGTTGACATCATTGCCAAATGAATTAGGCAACCTCACATCTTTGACTTCCTTAAATTTATGTGATTGTTCAAGGTTGACATCATTGCCAAATGAATTAGGCAACCTCACATCTTTGACTAGTTTAGATATGAGTAAGTGCCCATACTTGACATCATTGCCAAATGAATTGGGCAACCTCGCATCTTTGACTTCCTTGAACTTAAGTGGGTGTTGGAAGTTGACATCATTACCAAATGAATTAGGCAACCTCACATCTTTGGCTTTCTTAAATTTATGTGATTGCTCAAGATTGACATCATTGCCAATTGAATTGGGCAACCTTATAACTCTGACTTCCTTAAATATAAGTGGATGTCTCAAGTTGACATCATTGCCAAATGAATTGGGCAACCTCACATCTTTGACTTCCTTAAATTTATGTGATTGTTCAAGGTTGACATCATTGCCAAATGAATTGGGCAAACTCACATCTTTGACTTCCTTAAATTTAAGTAGGTGTCAAAAGTTGACATCATTGCCAAATGAATTGGGCAACCTGACAACTTTGACTTCCTTAAATATAAGTGGATGTCAAAAGTTGACATCATTGCCAAATGAATTGGACAACCTCACAACTTTGACTTCTTTAAATTTTAGTAGATGATGCGAGTTGACATCAATGCTAAATGAATTGGGCAACCTCACATCTTTAACTTCCTTAAATTTAAGTGGGTATTGGGAGTTGACATCATTGCTAAATGAATTGAGCAACCTCACAAATTTGACTTCCTTAAATATAAGTGAATGTCAAAAGTTGACGTCATTGCCAAATGAATTAGGCAACCTGACAACTTTGACTTCTTTAAATATAAGTGGATGTTGGAAGTTGATATCATTGCCAAATAAATTGGACAACCTCAAATCTTTCACTTTCTTAAATTTAAGTGGGTGTTGGGAGTTGACATCATTGCCAAATGATTTGGGTAACCTCACAAACTTGACTTCCTCAAATTTAAGTAGGTGTTGGAAGTTGACATCATTGCCAAATAAATTGGGCAACCTTACATCTTTATCTTCCTTAAATATAAGTGGATGTCAAAAGTTGACATCATTACCAATTGAATTGGGCAACCTTACAACTTTGACTTCCTGAAATGTAAGTGGATATCTCAAGTTGACATCATTGCCAAATGAACTTGGCAACCTCACATCTTTGACTTCATTAAATTTAAGTGGGTGTCAAAAGTTGACATCATTGTCAAATGAATTGGGCAACCTGACAACTTTGACTTCTTTAAATATAAATAGACGTCAAAAGTTGACATCATTGCCAAATGAATTGGGCAACTTCACATCTTTGACTTCTTTTAACTTATGTGATTGCTCAAAGTTGACATCATTGCCAAATGAATTGGATAACCTCACATCTTTGACTATCTTAGATATTTGTAGGTGTGGGAAGTTGAAATCATTGCCAAACGAATTGGGTAACCTTACATTTTTTAAAGTCATTAATAAAAAGAGTTGGATATCATTGTCAAAAATAATAATCAATGATTATTTAAGAATATATTTGTAAAAAATGTTTTAAATCAATCAAATATACTCTTATATGTTAGTAAGAAAAATTAAATTAAGCCTACATACATTATTTCGAACATACAATAGCACCAAAATATTAATAATTCTAAGAAGATAGAATTCAAATTTAGAATTTAGAATTTGGAGGATGAGAGTTATATATATTCTCTAAGAAATAAATAGACTTTTTAATGTTGTAATTTGAACTATCCCTATATTTTTGAGATCTATAAATTTAATGGTGGACTTATAATATTCTATAAGTTTTTTAAATTTTAAATATAGAGCCGTTTGGTGCTTTACTTTGTTGATTTATGTTTTGCTTTGTCTTCTTGAAAATTCAAATTGACATATCTTTCTTTTAGTAATGCATTTGATTTTAGCAATACATTTAAAATCTTAAATAAGTCTCCAGATTAAAAAAATATGAAGTTTTTAAAATTTCTTAATAAAATTTAATAATGATCAAAGTTAGAAAATGAGAGATAATGCCTTTAATCCACTAAATCGTTGGATGTTCTTTCTTTTTAATATTAATGCAAAACTTCAAGCTTCAACATCTCTCTCTTAAATTGCAAACTTGTTGTCAAATTTTTTAAGAATATTAAAACATTACTCAACCATAAATACAAATAATATTATTCTAATCTAACCAAAAAAATACTTAGAACCAAAAGATCTAATTTTTGAGATCCTAATTTGTTTAAATCTTAATTAATTTTTTTATTGTGTTGTCTAATTGTATTCAAATTATCAATACACATACACCACGTATGTCTTCACAAACCCACAAAATTTCATTTATAAATTTGCTACAAAACTTACACACTCCATTAAAACAATTTTTTTTTATGTAATACAAAGAAGAGTCAGTCAAGAAAACCTAAACTATATAATAATGTCACAAAGTCAATAAGCACTTAATCCCTCAAAACTAATGCTAAAAAAAATTTTAAGAGATTTCTTTTAGATAGTGCTTTCAATCAACAAACAAATCCCACATTTGTTGGTGCACGGTTTTGTGCCTTAAGAATTAATTTTCACCATGGTTCATTATCAGCCTTCTTTGAGCATCAATCTAAGACTTTTTTAGATAATTTTTATTAAAAATTACTCTTTATTTTTACCTTGAGAGGCCTATAATATTATTTTTGTTAACTTGGTTTATTTTAAGTTATTTTTTATCCTATAATGTAAGTAGAAGACATTTTTAAAAAAAGAAGCATTAATTCTAAATTTTTGGATTACCTTTTTAACTATTATTTATATTTTTAATATAACTTTTTATTATAAGATCTTATATAATAAAATTCTTCCATTTATCTTTTACTTTAAAGCCATACTACAACATAACATTATTTCTTTATTTGTAATAAGTTTTGTATAATTTTAAATAGATGATTGATAATCACAAAGTAAGATGTAAGAATTTGATAATTAAAAATTTGTAATGAAGTCCATTAAAAATAATGATTGAAGGTTTTCAAAAATACATAGAAGTTACAAAGTCTATAGAAATGATATTATAGAGTCTTGATTTAAAAATAAGTATCACAATATTAAACAAATTTATTTATTTTATTTTATGTTTGATGCCACTAAATATTTTTATAAATAGGCTTTTAAATTAAATTGTATTTAAAATATTACGTTGCTATAAAGTCATGTTATACTTCCAATGCACATAATAGTACTTAATCCTTTAGATTATATAGTCTTCTTTCAAAATAAAAAAAAATAAAAAAAAATATTTAAAATCAAATTTTCTAGAATCATTATAATGCTAATTTTTCAACATAAAACAAAGAGAATTTTCAAACAAATTTGGACAAATTTAATTAGTAAAAGTTGTAAATATAAAATTCTTATAATAATGGCTTAAAGATGTAACTGCTTTGATTTAATGAGAATATTTTATTGTAAATTATATGCAACAACTTCTTTTCTTTAATGCAAGACAAGAATATCTTGAGAAGGAATTTAAAAAGCTTTATTCTTTTTAAAGAAAATACAAATAATTTAAATACAAATCATAACAAAGACATACTCCAACAACCTTGATAATAGTTTAAAATATATGTTGATATAAAATACTTATAATTCATGTCATTAATTAAATAAAAAATCTGTTTTTAAGTTTTAATTCTATTATTAAAGAAAATTCATGAAAACTATAATTTATAATTATATTTTTTATAATTAAACTTGATTGTTGAAAAGTTTTTAGAATGAAAAAAATAGAAAGAAATAAATCTATATTCAATTATTATAGATTTCCATTTAATGCAAATTTTGATGTATTTATTTTAATAAAAAAAGACTTGGAAAAATCCAAGCAATATAAATTAGAAGTTAAAGTGTAATTTGTTTTTAAACCTTCTAATGCTCATTCTTTTTAGCTTAAGTTTACAAGAAAAATTCTTAAAAGGAAAAAAACAAAAAAAAACATAAAACATACAAATAGAATGAAATTTATCTATATTCAATTGTTATATAACTAAATTTAATACAAAGTTAGATGCATTTATTCTAATTAAAAGACTTGGAAAAATTTAGCCAACATAAAATATAAGTTAAAGTGAAATTTATCTTTAAAAATTTTCATGCTCATTTTATTTATCTTAAGTCTACAAAAAAAATATTTAGAATTTAATTATATAAATAGAACAATAACTCATAAATTCTTAAAAATTCTTGATAATTATTTAATAATAGTTTAAAAATACTAAAAAAATATGAATCATGTATAGTTATTAGAGTTGTCTAATACATAATAGTTTGTACTTTTTTAGATTTAAAAAAAAATTATTATTTCTATTTATAAGATCCAAAACTTCTACATGTATTATCTTACTACACAGTTAATTTTATTATTGCATATAATCCTTCATTGTTGAAATTTTATACTATAAGAAAAATATGTTTTTTATCTCTGATTTTCTATAAATATATTAACATTCTTTATACTAATTTAAGCTTCTACTACAATCACTATATGAATGAAGACTTAGTATTACTTAAATAATTATAAACTAATATATTTTTATTTTGCAATTTGCATAACTGTCTTAGCTCTAACAAATAAAGGTTAAGCTGGGTTCCTAGTATTCGACTAAATTTTATAAAGATCTGTTCTAATCTCCAAAAAAAGTATCATATTATATAATTTTAAATTTTTAAATCTATTATTAATAGATATAAAGGATATTAAATGATGTTAAAGATAATGTTAGATTCTTGATATCTAAATGCCACTTTATAAGGCTTAGTTTCTTTTATAAAACTTCTAATTGCTATGATTGTGTATTAATAACTTTATTTTTTAAAAAAATTATATTTGAGTTTGTGCTTTGTATCTTAAATCTATTAGATTTGATATTAAATTTTTTTAATTTATGACCTAAATTTTTATAATATATATATATATATATATTTACAAAGATAATTATCTTTTATATCTTTTATTAATTGTTTGAATTGTGTTGAATTGATCTACAAATATTTTGGACTTAATGAATAGATATATAAAGATTTACAAGTTGTTGTCATAACTTAGATTGTCATTTTTTAATCAAATCTTTGTACTTAGCATCTTCAAAAGAATTGACTGTTGTATGATATGGCTTAAGTGATGAAATATTCTAATGAATCTAATTTTGAAATTATCAATAATAAATTTTTAATCTTATCTTTTAAGTCAATTTTAAAATAATTATTTTTGAAAAAAATATTAATTTTTTTAATTCATGTCACAAGCAAGTTATTAGAATTTTGCAATACATGTAGCAATTGAATGTGCTTTCTATTGCAAAGACTAGAGTTTTTTTTTTACTAGTCTTTTATAGTTTCTCTTCATTAATGTAGTTGTAAATACCTCCAAAAAATAGTTTAAATCATACAAAAGACTTAATTTATTTATTTAAGATGCAAAGCAAGAAAGAATATTTTTAAATAGAATTGACTCTACAATCCTACTTAAGTAAAATCATCAAGCTATCAAGAAGGATTTATTTGCAATAACAATACTTAAAAGATAAGTTTCAATAGCCACATGGTGCAATTATTGGAATCTAAATTTCAAATCTCTATCTCAAAAAATTCTTCAAAGTTTTTCAAAGAAGATATTATCTATCCAACATATTCTACCTACTTCTATTTACTTCTATTTACTTAAGTAATATAGGCATTAATTTTAATCTCTAACTTAAGAATACTCAATAAGACTTGATTATTAATACAAAAATATTTTCATATAAATTATTAGAACATCAAGATAAGATCTTGTAAAAATAAATAAATAAATATGATAAAAAACATGTATAAAATCTCTTAAGATATTTAATTTATAATATTTTTTTATTTAACATTCATAAAAAAAATTATGAAATAAATATTATAGAATTTATTAAAATATATGATATATTGGAACCCTATTTATTATCACAAGTAAAAAAGAGGTTGTGATGGTTGAGTAGTATTAGCAATCAGATTAGATTAGATTAGACTCTTGTAGCAAGTCAATAAATAAATAAATAAATAGATATGATACAATAATTGATTTGTCATGTCTTGTATCCTTTCAGCAACAAATCTTATCCAACTTTTTTAAGATTTTTATAGATTTACTTAGACATGTAGAGGAGAGATTTAAGTGAGTGATTGTGTACTACTCAATGGATACAAAATAGCTATAATACAAGGCGTAGTCTGCAAATCAATAAAAAAAAATGAGACAATTTTTTTGTAATTCTTGAAAAGCTAAATAGGAGTGCAGCAAAATGGTTTGGACACTAGATGATAACTAAAGTAACAATGCTAATAATCACTTATTATCAATGAAGGTATATTTGCTATAATCACAAATTTGAGGGATATATTGGCTACTACCAAGAATACATGGATATTTTTGATATTTCAACATATTTGAAGGATATATATATATATATATATATATATATATATATTTATATAAGATATTTTTCCATCATCAAATGGCACCTTTGATACAATTATGCATTTCAATGTTAATCTATTTATTTAAATACATCACATATCATTCTTTTAGAATTATGTGTATGGACATATACTCTCACACACACAAAACAAACAAACAGAGACAGAAAGCAACGAATGTTTGGATGAATTGTGATGGGATTGTAAAGGATACCAAGAATACTGAAGTTTAAATTTAAAATAATGCGCGAGGGAAAGCGTGAGGGCGGGGGCGCCGTGATCCCACGAGCCCTACCAGATGAAGAATCGACAGAAGCCGAGGAGTTGCAGTAGTGCCCGAATTCATCCATCCATCGAAGCAAAGCAACCTGGGGAGGAGGGGGAATGCTTTTACACGCCACTCACGTGCAATCCCGTCCCTCCACTCCATTGCGGCAATTCTGCTGCCCCCTACAATCCTCGTCCCTATGCTTCCTCGCCCTTTCATCGCCGCTAGTCACTATTTCTTTCACCCTATGAAAGATCCTTTACACAGCCATTCCGTCCTCATTCATGGTCCTTGCTCTGTGAGGGTGGTGGTGGATGCTGCAGTTTTTCAGCGATCCACCTCGGTCGGTATAGTGTCCATCAAACCTTCCCTAACCCGTGTCTTCTCCGTTAGCTTTGCTCGTTTTGGCGTGTGATTTTGTTTGATTAAAAAGGAGAGAAGTGAATGGTCGTTGTTGACTAGGATGCGTCCGTTCTCATGTGATCTCGTGATTTTACTAATGGACGTGGTTGGAAATGCAGAGTTGTTGTAGAGAAGTACGGGTCGGTCAATTGCTAGCTGGAAGGGGTGCACGGATTTGTGCTTGAGGTTGAAAAGGAGTGCAGAATGAAACACTCCCAACCGCGGGTCGTGGCGGGCGTTGTCGGGGGAGTAGCGCTGCTATGGCTTTTGATGTTTTCACTGGACGGAATTACTGGCAAATCTTTGTCCGCTTGGATGGCAAACTGCGTCAAGTCATGGGCTGGAGGAGCAGCACCTAGCTTGGCGTCCAGCTGGTTTGTGACGACATTAGATCCGAGATCTCGACCTGTTATGACACGCATCAACGAGTATAAGGATATGCAGGGTATGAATCTTCTTCCGTAGGTTCTCTCTACTGTTTGCGCATAAATCTTTTCCGTAAAGCTTTCCAGAAAGTTGTATATGCTTGGAGGTCCTATTTTTAGCTGGAAAATATTCATCGCAAACGTTGTGTGGCAATTGTGGATCCGCAGTGGAAACGAAAGTACTGTCAAAGCAGCCGCACGAATACTTGAAGCTTAGTGATCTACCCAAGGCCTGGGATTGGCGTAACGTTAATGGTGCAGTTCACTAATGCATCAACCCATGTTATATCAGATCTGTGTCCGTTCGGTTCTTCTTTCAGCTTGTTGTGGCCGTCTTATAATCGACTTACAGCTCCTTGGGCACCCGTAAAACGTTTTTAAAAGTCTGAAGATAGTGCTTTGATGACCTTCACAGGTACGAGCTACGCAACTCGCGATCTGAACCAGCACATTCCAGTCTATTGCGGTACTGCACTCAACCTCTTCTCTCTATGCCCAGAGGTTACTCATTTTATGTGCAACTAATGGTCGTACTGTTTGAAAGTTAGAACTTTCTTGTGATATTTTTCTCAAATTTCAAGCCATATTTTCGCGCAATGCGTCAGGATCTTGCTGGGCGCACGCCGCATTGAGTTCTTTGGCGGACCGTCACAAAATGCTTCGCAAGGCCCAATGGCCTGATATCCAGTACTCTGTGCAAGTGTTAGTATCTTTCTTTTTGTCTTTCAGATGATTGTTTTATTATTATTATTATTATTATTATTTTAGGATCCGCCTTTCACATTCCAAATTTTAACAGGATTGTGAATTTGAGCTTCTTAGGACTCAAAGAATTAATTTGGCTCATTTGGTTTTTGCTTTGTGGACTTTTAGTATGCATTTGTTTAATTAGCACAATAGTGCCGTTTGGTATGCTTTGTGATACTCTTACCTCGATTTCAATAGCTCTTTTCTCTTTGACTGTCGATCTCTTTCGTTGAAGCCTAGCTGTTTGAGTTTTGAACAGAATCTTGAACTGCGCTACCGATATTGCTGGAAGCTGCCACGGCGGTGATCCTCTGGGAGTGTTCAAATTCATGCATGAGCATGGCCTGCCTGAAGAAACTTGCCAGGTGAATGGGATTTTTAACATATCCAAGGATGTGATGGACTTATGTTGAGAAGCAAGTTGCTAGAACATTTGATTGCGCACATCGTGGAAAACCCCTAACATGAAATTTCATGCTGCAGCTATATCGGGCTAGGGATGACGAATGCACACCTATCAATGTCTGTCGCAACTGCGTACCACCAGTTGGGAACATTGAGAGTTGCACTGCTATTTCTGACTACCCAATCCATTTTGTCGGCGAATATGGAAAAGTTTCCGGGGAACTTAACATGGTGAGCTTGGAATCGTTTTCGTACGCTTCATTCTTTCCTCATAGATGATGAGTGCAGCATGATAAGTTCTTTCATGCGCATAGCGTGTTATCTGAAATTCACTTACCTTTTTAGTGGCAAACCTTGGTGATGGCTGGCAGATGGCGGAGATTTATGAGAGGGGTCCGATTGCATGTTCAATCGATTCAACACTACTCCATTCCTACACTGGTGGTATTCTTGTAAACACGTGAGTAGCGCTTGTGTTATTTCCAGCTTGGTCTCCGTTGTGGATGCTGTGAGCTTAGGGGTTAAGTTCGTGACCAATCTAGCATTCTATGTGATGTCAACGACTTTTGTGGTGAGATTATTGAGTACAGAAAACGATTCACATCTAATATTTTTGTAATAATTCGTCGAATTTTGAGTACGGCAGGGATCCTGCACATCACGACCACGTAGTCAGCGTTTCTGGATGGGGAGAAGAGAACGGCCTCAAGTACTGGATCATTCGCAATTCTTGGGTAATTGTACTGATTCTTTTGGCTGTTTTTTAAAATTAATGAGTACTTCGAGTACCAGACTGTCTGAGTGTCGATTGTCACTATGACACAAGGCGAGATTTTGCGGTTGCTCCCAAGCGACCGTTGCATCACCACAAAAGTACCCTGTTGAGTTTACTCCTGTTTTCGAAGTATCCTTATTTGGATCATCTCGGTGTAAGCTAATCTTTACGAGGCTCTCAGAGTGAGCTTTTTCTGTGATTGTGATGCCAGGGAACGTATTGGGGTGAAAGTGGATGGTTCCGCTTGATAAGAGGTGTTGACTCGTTGAATATCGAGGAGAATTGCGCGTGGGGTGTACCAAAGGATGCAGGCTAGTGCTGGTCCGCACAAGGAACAATCAAATGCTGAAAGTATGTCGATGAGAAGTTCCTAATGCAATGAATAAGCCGGCAATCAAATGTTTAGCAAGCAATTAAGTTGGACTCGATGTGTGCACAATTGTGTATGATGTACCGTGCTAGTTGACATAGTTATGTCCATCAAACCGCCTATGATGGTACCCGCACCTTGACTACGTTTGATTCTACGTCATATGACCGCCTACCACTTCGGAGAAAGCGTGAAGGAAATTGCCCGGATAACGTGAGGCAATCAACTTATCAGAATTATGAGACCATGGTTAGAGCGAAAGCAAGATGATCTTAAAGAGTCTTACATACTGATTTGGCAGCGAAGTTGTAAACTACATATTCAGTTCCTAGTGACACTCGACCATTTGTAGTGGAGGTCCGCTTTGGTCGAGATTACCTTATGTCATGTTGACTATTTCAATAGATTGCCCCATGCGATTACCTTACATTCCCACCAAAATATATTGCCATTATTTTCTGCTCCCTGCTCTAGTCTTTTCAGTCACCGTGATGTCTTGTGAATCTCTATCCGTCACAGTTTACAGTTTGTTTCAAAGACAGTGAGGGCTAAGATCTCCCTTGATATTCAGATATTTGCCAAGTCTTGAAATATCTGACATAGAAGGGTGCCCTTCAAGCAAAGATTCCGTCACAAATTCTCCGAGCAACTTGTTAAACCAATCACAACTTGCAACATGACGTGCTTAAACCAGTCTTTAAAACTTTGTGTCGGAAGTTACGAAAGCGTTGCCGCGCTTCTTTCTGTGTGAGAAATGATGGGCTGTTCAATGTCGACTTAGACAGTCGATGCGGTACACCTCCAATCTGGAGCAACATCTGGGGAGATTTGGACGGACCTGAGCAGTTTCGTGCAGACATGGTGCAAGCAGCTGAGAAATGACAAAGTGTGTTGGTATATTATACAACTTGTAATCGACGATTTATTTTTAGTGATAAACTGAGCAGTTGCCTTGATCGACGTCGGGGTGGGACCACAGTGCACGTGGGATCGAACCATTGGGAGGTCATGGAGTGTATGGAGCTTGCGTACCTTTGGCGTCACCCTATTCAGAAAGTGAATTTGGTTGAGTGTCGAATGCATCGTGATGGCACCCACGGATCGCATCGATCGGACGACGCCATGGCGCGGATTAGTTTTGCGCACAGTGCGTTTCGTCAACGACTGAACGATCGCTACAAGTAACTCATGCGTGCTTGTATAGAAAAGATATTTTTCTAGGTTGTGCATTTCTTGTAGGCCACAGCTCTGACTCGGATCATCGCAACGACCGAAGTGTTAATTTCGAGGTTCAGTCGCGTGGCGACGACTGGCCGTCGATTTTAGTGACCGATCCCAGCCGTACTCGCTATAATATGATGTATTTTGGGGTCGAAGATGTGACAGAGTTTTTCGGTGATTCTGGTCGTTGCGTTTCAAGTGAGACAGCAGTAGGAGATTCAAGTAGTTGAGAATATTAATCGGGTGTGCATGAAAAGTTGATCAGGTGATTGAGCCTTACAGGAAAGCGTGCGTGTAGACAAACGCGAGCAGTCTGATAGATCTGTTGTAGTTGGATTTCGATCAGAAGCGGCTCATTTTGTGTTGAGATTGTGAAGGATAGTTGTGGACGATCTAGTGGTTGCTCTAGTGAACTCGGGAGGCAGGACTTCAAATTCTGACTCTATGCTGAAGGTCCTTTTTAATCTCGCAATTTATCGTCGTATAATTGTCGTTGCAGTTAGACAATAGCCTCTGATGTGTTGAAATTGTGGCGCAGAGTTCTTCGATGGCGGTGTGAGCAAGGAGTGAAGCTTCAAATTATCTTTTGTAAGATCCTACACCATGTTAACTTAGAAGAATCCTAGCTCTTGCTGTTTGTTTTAATTTTGCGAAATTGGTTATCCATTCTAGTACTGGATGAACACGATTGCCTTATTTGCAACCATTCCATCACGCATGGATTCTTCTCAAATGACGATGAGCTGTCTGAATTGCTTTCGGTACTACAACTAAGCTTATGACCTCAGACCTACTAGCAAAATTCTTGACCAATTTATTATGTGTAAGTTGCATCATTTATGCATAAGCAGCATGGAACATGTGAGTGACTAGGTCGTTACGTCGCTAGGTCGCTCGGCCGCTGAGTGTCTGTAGTGATAAACTCGTGGTGGCATACTTCGAGAATCCTAAACGGAGAACAAAATAATAAAATAATAAAGATAAAAATAAAAAGCGTCTAGACAGTGGGATCTTGTTCTCTACTCCATGATGTGTTTGAATAGTTATAACTGCATTCGTTAGGGCTTGTGGAAGCGACTTGTCCACGACAACCATTCGTCCAAAGTACTGAGTTGCTTACACTGTTCAACAAGGACACATGATGATCTCCTTCCTCATGTGGATCATCTCTTGTTCTTGCTGCTGTGCTCCAGCGTAGTCCCGGAAACTATTTCTTTGTTTTGAGGAAGAGTAGCCGCGGACATAGTGCTCTCTCAGGAGATGAAAGAGAATATGAATTTTTTGCACTTGATGTAGGTCAGTATCGATAATAGAAGCTGTAATAGGACGTGCATCTTTTAGAAGAAGATGGGGCATGCTTACCAGAAGACGAAACATTCGGTATATTTTATTCGTATTGATTCACTTTCTAGGAATAGCTGTAATCCTTCCATCTGTTTTCTTCATGCCTCGATGTTGCACTGTACTCTAACCGGTGGTCATTTCTCAGGATTGAAGTTTCTTCGAGATGGCAATCTTAGCGCCACATAACTGCAATGCAATAATCGGCAATTTTCCATCAACAAAATCCTCACATGCAGGACCTAAGAGCAGTACGTGTGTATATGGGGGTGTCGCTTTGTATGCAAGAGAAGGTATACACCTATCAAGTAATGTTTTCCGGAGAAATTTCCAAGACAATTTCAAGGGATTTTGGCGAAGAAATTCGAACAAAATTTCTCCCATTAACAAGAGTGTTCAGAAGAAACACTATGATTGTGTAGTGCCAGTCTGCTTTATGGAAAAGCTTCAAGCAGTGTACATGGCTCAATGTTGTTTGCAGCACCTGAACACTGACACACTCCTGGCAGTAGTCGATCCAGCAATTGATAACATTAAGAGTTCCCCAGAAGTGCAACATGCTCTTCACTCAATTCAGTCTGTATCACATTATTCAACTGCGCTACATCTGCGTGAATTTTTAACTGCAGCCTTGGATCATGTGGAGCAGTTCACATCACACATCATGAAGACCTTTGACAATATCGGTGTGAATACTTCAACCAATCAGCAACTTGTAGATCAAATTTGGGTATCCATGACGTCTGATCATGCGAACATGAGAGCCGGAGCTATACCTGGGGGAACTCCAGCACTTCTTACATCGATAGCTACCTTAACTGTAGTAGTTTCCTCTGCGCTTGAAAGTAAAGGGGATTTCTCGGAGGGACGCGATCTTCCATTACGATATGATGCAGACTTGATTGCTGCTTATTTCAAGAAAAGACCGATGGACATTGCGATGAGATCTACAAAAATCATGTTTGAATGCTCGAATTTAACTTTCAACATCTTGTTGGATAAGTACCTCGGGCGAGAACGACAGATGGAGCAAGTACGTGCTAGGGAGCTTGTTGAACTAATCACCAGGCTTGGACCTACTGCTGTGAAGGTACTTAACAGCCAATCACTTCGGACAATATGTTGAAGAATAATGATCATGTGTAAAATACCTTGAACGTGTGCAAACCGGGATAGTGTATAAAAACATAAAAAAATTATTAAGATAAACTTAAATTGATAGTATAAAAAAAAAAAGATGAAAATAAATTTCCAATATTTGAAGCTTTTAAATAGTACCCTCTTGATGCGTTAGGCGTGGTTAGAAAACAATCTAAAATCAGAGGTAAACTATGGTGGCTTTGCAAATTTTGGGCATGCAGGATCAAGATACCACATTCTGAAAAAAAATTTGGCATTTTTTTGATAAAAGAATGAGATTTTGGCACAATTTATGCTTTACGGCACAGGTCACCTTATCAATTAGTTGGTGGCATCTATGTCATTTAATAAAAGCGCGTGCCATCGACAAGAACTTAGACTAATGTAGTCAGGATAGGATCTGGGACATTGTTCTGAACTCACCCTTGACAGTCTTTGAAGAGTCTTGTATTCGACAAACATTTTAAACTAATGAGTACGGTGATAAAACGTTTTTGTTTATGTTTGAGTGCCATTAGATTGGTCAGGCATTGAGCATACGCCCCGACATAATGCCCCAAGTATATTTAGAGCAACTACAAAAACTTCAAGACCGAGTTCCTCCTTTCTCCAACGATGAGGCGAAGCAAATTATTTTAGAATCTCTTGGAAGACCCGCTGAAGAAATGTTTGAGGAGATGTCCGAACATCCGATTGCTGCTGCTTCCTTAGGACAGGTTTGTACACAGAAAAAAGTCAATTATGTGCGGCAATGAGTGATTTTGTATTCATTTAAGTTTTTAAGCAGTACAGATGAAGAAGAAGAAAGATTTGAGCATCTTCAAAACATGTCGTTTAGTCAAATGTAACGTATTCAACCTTACGAAACCTGTGGCTCATTTGGCAACAGGTTTTCAAAATGATGCATTTACTGATTTTCTTGAAGATATTTTGTGCTTTCAGGTGTACAAGGCAAAACTAAGAGAGAATGGAGTTCCGGTGGCAATCAAGGTGCAGCGACCTGGGGTTTTAGAAGGAATATCACGTGACCTGTTCTTGCTGAGAATTGGCGCATCGATATTTCAAAAAGTTCCTATAGTGCAATCTGATATGACTGGACTACTCGACAGCTGGGCTTTTCGGTTCTTTGATGAGCTCGATTATGTCAACGAGGTGGGCGATGCGTGCGATGTCACTTTAACCTTAATTTTAAATTTTTAAATGGAATTATATCTGTATCAAATGGTATCCTATCAGATTTCTACTTTTGGTAGTCAGAAGAAACATCTTTTACTGTAGAGAACTTCTATGGGAGAGTAACAGCGTCAAGGCCTTTTAACTTCATAATTTTAAGGAACCTATTTGAAAAATGAAAGATTCAAAGAAATTGCTGATGATAGTCATTAATCAGAAGTGTGGTGCTCCTCATCTGCTCCGACTGACAGCCTGTAGAAGACTGCTATATTTGTTGACCTTCTTGCATGTACTACTATTATCGGCTAACGACTCACTACGTGAGTGCCTGAGAACTTAGAAACCGTAATGTCGTCTAACTTGAGACTCCTTACCAAATTTTGTTTGAATTCTTTTACGCAGGCACACAATGCCATCCAGTTCTTAGAAAATATGAACTCTTTGCCTCAAGTCACCGTCCCTGAGATGTTCTTAAAGTACACATCACGCAAGGTTTGTAGTCCTTTCCCTTAAAACTTAACCAAAGGTAGCCTTGAGCACGTTTCAATTTCCTTTACCCTTAGTAAAACACTCCTAACAAAAGAGAAGATGCTGTGATTGAGGGATTTGATGTTATGGATATCCAAACCTAGAGAGCTTCTTGAAAGGGATTTATGTAGGTATAGTATTTAACATCTTTGATTGAAATGATGAACGCGAACACAACTCATTTGAGGGCTTAAAAACATTAGGCTCTGCAGAAATATATCGCTCGCTTGGACACTTTGCATTGGAGTTAACATTCTCTTCTATAATTTATAAGTAGATAATCGACTGGAGAACTGAACTACAAGTTAGTTTATTGAATTTGGAGAGTTGTTTCGCAGGTGCTGACGAGTGCATGGGTTGTCGGAGACAAACTCTCCGACAGTAATGCTGCCGACTTGTCCATGATCACAACAGCCATGAACTGCTACTTAGTGCAATTGCTGGAAAGCGGATTCCTTCATGCAGATCCACATCCTGGAAACCTTCTGAAAACTCCAGACGGTCGTCTTTGTGTACTGGATTTCGGACTCATGACTACGGTAGCCTTTTGAACTATAATATCGCCTTTTCATGAGCTAGCTTTACATGCAAATAAATTTGGTGACTTTTATCCTTTCGAGTCAAAGCTTTGAGCTAAATCGATAGCGAACTCTGTCTTCTTTGCAGGTTACTGAAGATCAGAGGTACACATTGATTGAATTCATATCCCACCTGATGAACTCCGATTATCCTCGTGTAGCAGATGATTTGGTAAGGCTTGGTTTTGTTCCTGAAGACAAAGCTGACCCTGCAAAAACAGCAGCTGCGGTTCCTCAACTCACTCGCGTAATGAGCCAACTTTTACAAGGTGGTGGTATTCGGAAGATAAATGTCCAGCAGGTTCGAAGCTAATCCAGTCTGCCTCAATACTAGATTGGATGTGGTTGAACAAGACACACTGATCCAATTTTCTACTCGCCCTTGAATTAGGCAAACTTTCCGAAGGATTAAAAAAACTGTAAATCACACATTCCATTATTAACTAAAACCAACACATTTAGTATATTTTAACATTAAAACAATTACTGACCCTTTTGCAGATGACTGAAGACATTACAAAGGTCGCGAAGGACTACATTTTTGTGATACCACCGTACTTTGCACTCATTCTCCGCGCTTTCTCAGTGCTGGAGGGAATTGGTTTAGACATAGACCCTGACTACAGTATCGTCAATGCATGTTATCCATACGTCTCCAAACGATTGCTCACTGATGACAGGTGAGTAAAAACATTATGATTCTCATGGCCACTTGCATCATTAGATGGCATATTTTGCGATTTCAAGCTTCAGTTCACGCCTAATTTAATTGAGAAGCAGCCAGCAATTTGTGTATTTTTTGCTGTTTTTCTTAACACAACTTCAACCCGTGTCTCCTTGGCTTGTAAATTGATTTTATTTTCTTTCTTTGTTGGGACACTCAACCCTCGATACCTCCACCAGAACGTATTGAATGGTCAGATGATTTGTAACGTATTAAATCTTCTAACTTATCAAAATGGATGTGTTTTGTGCAGTCCCCGAACAAGGCTTGCACTAAAGTATTTCCTATACGGAGAGAGCACCCAACTAGATATTCAGCGAGTGGAAGCATTAGCTTCGGGGTTTCAGAGCTTCCGAGACATTATGACTATGTCCCATGGTGGTCCGGCTTTGCCACCTCCAAAAGTGAATTACTTGGATCCCACTGCAAAGGAAGCCCTAAAGCTTCTGTTTGCACCCGAAGGCAGTTACATTCAGGAGCTTATTCTGACTGAGGTAATTTGGCAAATCTGAAAATCGCATTTACTTGCATAGTCTTGCTTCCATGCACATGATTTCTTTACATTTAAATTTTTTGAGTTGGTAAGTGAACGAGAATATGAGATTTTCTAGCCCAGATAGTCAAGACCCAAGCCATTCTTTGAAATGAATATCTGTCGCCATCACCTTTCACTTTGTTGGGAGGGTCCGACAAGCTCCGTATTTCGAATTGTTAATCGTTATAACTGACAAGGGTTTCTACTGTGCTTCCAGGTTGTTCGTGCTGTGGACGCACTATCTAGAGAAGCACTGGCCGAACTCTGGCAATTTTTTTCTCAACGCCTTAACTTATCTTCAACTCTGGCCATCCCAGGGTCGTGGCCTCTCCCCAGTTTTATATTTGGTGGTGTGCTTGGTGGTAGACAAATGGCCCAGCTGTCACCAGAAGATTACAAATCACTTGACTTAGTGCGGCGGTTATGGATGCTTGTTGAACCTCATCTTATGCGTCCCAGCACCGCCACAGGTATTGCATACACCTTCAAGTAGTTGCTTTTCACCGTTCCATATCAATCTCATTGAACTCTGAAGCCTAAATTCTAGTATGGTGGTGTTCAAGATGCTCGTAATATTCACTTGAAGATGACTTGATCTTGATTCAGAATTCGCCGACATTGCCCAAGATGTAGGGCCAGTGGTCAAGGATCTCCTCCCAGGCGTTAGAACTATCGCTCAACGTTTCGCCATTATGTTATTTCAGCGGCAAGCACTTCGATTAGCAGATGACCTTGATGGTCGTCACTCCGTGAGAGGCTGGGATGAAGATCCAGCAGCATTTGCTCGGAGAATTCGCCCATTTCAAGCCCGCTTGCAGCCTCCAAACCCACAACCCAGAAAACAACTACCACAATTGACTGGCCGTTGAAATGATCTGCATACAGTACAGAATGGATCTACTCCATGATGATCAAGTTCTATCGATTTGGAACTAATGTACACTAATATTTCAGATTTTTTACAATTTACTGTAGGCTGGCTAATCAATTCTTTCCATGAAATTTGTATGCTCAATGGACGTTCGATTGGGTTTTGAAATGCACTTGGGTGCTGTGAAGCATAACACTGTATTGTTCTGGCGTCTTTATCATTACTGTACATTCATCTTACCATATTGTTCGACCTCTTGACCTGGTAGTTGGTGATTTGCATCTGGAAACTTGGGCTGTGAGTCAATTATTCCAGGGAACTGAATTTAGCTCGGAGAGGTAACTATTTTATTTAACAATTCAGGTGCTTTTAAACCTGCAACTTCATTGCTATAATATCCTCAGCAGCAGATGGTTGAGCCTCTGACCTAAACCTTGTGCTTCAATCAATTAATGAACTTTTCCTCACTGCAAGCCGTCACGCATGTGAAAGAATCTTCTATTAGTAAGACTAGCCTGATCCTTAGAATATTATGCCCTTACCTATTCTTTTACGCTGACCATAGAAAGATTACAAGTGTTCCCAACCAAGTCTGAGACAATCTGTGCTCATCTTGGGATCCTTCTTTGCCAATTGGTTTCTTTTGGACTTTAACTTAACGCAGCCCTATGTCACTTACGTGGAAGTACAAGCTGTACCGAGGAGCGGCGTCTCTGTTCAAGGCTCTTCCATGAATGTCTCCATTCAGTATCGAAAACTCCTCGTCATGGCTATGAACGACGCACCTCATCGTCCTGACCTGCATCGAGGTTCCAGAGGCGCGAAACGAAAATACGGACATCTTACAATCCTTCCAGAAGCTGAAAAGGAACACGTAAAACCTCGCTGGAACCTATTTTCATGAGAGCCGTGTCCATGATTGAGAAAAGAATTTGGCAACCGGAAGAGGCTGGAAGCGGTGTCATATCAGGCTTCTTGAAATATTGAAAGTCAAAGTGGCACCATCTCTGTGAGGTGTTGTCCACAAAGGACCAGCATTAGCAACATAGAAGAACATTCTGTGGCGTACTCGAACCCAAAAACAACAAAGTGGGTCGGTTTTATTTTGCCAAACCTGGGTGGAATAAATTCTTGATCAAGTGCGCCATTGGTATCTTCTTTCCTTGTTAAGGTGCAGCCTGACTTTGTGAATTTTGCGGGCGATAGCTTTCCAGGTCATATGCACAGCGTCGTCTGGTTGCGTAGGGTATTGATATTTGAAATGGTGTTCCACTTGTTTCAGTGTGGCCCACATCTTGGTCCATTTTTCCCTACTTACTCCACGGAGCAGATCGATTATGAAATTGCTCTTAAGGGCGTCACTGGATTTTATGAAGATTGAGAAGGTGGAGTAGTTGAGGGTATCCTCGAACGGCACTTCAATGTCATCGCTGATGATGACGGGGACGCAATGACTAGCAATTGCGTCGAAGAGGCGATTAGAGGAAGGGGTATCCCCGGCTAAGTTGAGACAGAACTTGGAGTTCTGCATGCCCTCAGATGCGGAGCGGATTGCGCTGTTGGTGGTGTTACCTCCTTCAAAATGCACGTCCGGCTCGCCATTGAGGAGCTTGTATAGTTGTAGCCTTATGATTCCACCCTGCGCACGCAATATGTTTTCAAGAGATCGCTGTGGAAATGAATTTATTTGTATGGCTGAAGGATTAAGCTTCTGGTTAAGGACTACAATATATTGTACTGTGGACAAATTTGACTCGTCTTAAACCATGAATCTCAAAGAGCATCAAAGCAGAATCACTGCCTCGTCACAGATACAGAGAATATACCAGCTCACTTACAATCTAGTAGCAATATGGTCTCTGACAATCAGAGACATCATTAAAGAAAGGGATTGATCGCAATTATAAGAGCCTATAATCGAAAGACTATTACAACCGACAATTTCAGGTGGACATGCGTAGCAACCTTACCTCTTTCCTCATAATGGCTCCTTGGAAAAACAGAAGTGTCTTACGTTTCTCATACGAGATGGTAGCTTCAGCTTCGAAATCATTGACAACGTGCTTGTAAGGGGCTACGATATCTTTACCAATGTTGGCTACATCGGAGGCATATCGACCGAAATCTGCAACCACAAACATGGCTTTCCGCAAGTGATCCCTCATAAAATAGCCGCTATTGGGATGGTGGATCACAATCACATGGTCTACACCTCCAGAAGCTTGCCATGCAGGCTGCTTCTCTAGGAACTGCATCAGCTTTTCTTGCAGCTCTTGGTTCTTGTCCTCGCCAAGTGCCCTTTGTTCTGCTCTTGTGAACTTGTTATAGCTCAGTGAAGCAAAGAAAGGCACGAAAATCACATCAGCCGATCTCCAATTATCCACTCGAAATGCTGTGCACACACTCTGCCGGTCTGCCATGTTCGACGTAAGTAAGTCGGAAGTTAGCCAATATTCTACGCTGTGCTGCTTGTACAAGCCCCCTAGATACGGAGGTATGTCTGAAACGTTTCGCGGCCAGATTTGACCCTGGGAGTACGGTTGCTGCACAAGCATACCGTAGTGAAATTCAGATGGAAGATCGTACATGAACACTCTCAGAGTAGTGGCCTTCTCACTGCATCCTTCGGGAAACCCTGTGCCAAGTTCGGCAGAAGCTGTCTGTGAATCTTGTAATGAGAAACGACGTTGCAGCTTCGAGAATGAGTTGTATGACGTAGTACAGCCGTCATTCAACAAGAGTGTGGGACTCACGGATTTTGCAAACATGAGTGAGCCTGCAAAAGCAGTGATGGATAAAAGAAGGCAGACAGCAAGAATGTATCTTCTTGACGTTCTACACTCGTCTGATCCGCGGCATGGTCGAGCTTTCTGCACATCGTGAGAGTTCAACGGAAGGGAGAGGAACGTTGGGCTACCCGACCCTTTCTGTGAAACGCCTCCGGAATTTTCCTGATTCGGTGATTCTTTGCATAACAACCCCCGCTTCACAACTTTATCACCCCAGTGTAACTGCTCATAAATTGGATTAATCCTCTGTGACGAATTCATTATCTGTGTAGATGAATACTATACTTCAGCAATGTTCCTAGACAATATTGTGATGCTTTCCAGAATACTACTCCGAATAGAGAATGATTCTGCCAGACAAGCGAGGTGACAGAGTCGAAACCGTCTCCTTATCGCCCTCCGCAGCAGGCATCATTCTAGTGTTGACTATTACGTGCTCGCCCACATGTAGTGATATCGAAGGAAAAAGACTTTGAACTTAATCCGCCAGAAGATTCAGCGTCTTCCTACAACGATTGCAGCCAAAAGCTCGGCACTACCCAGAATAATCTCACGCCTGAGAACTTCGCAGATCCTAGTCTTATTTCTTCATGTCCCATACCTTCAAAAATAATACGACCAACTCAGGGCATATGTAAACACACGAAGTGTTACAACTTCGCTTCCTCCACTATATTGGCAAGCACAAAAGAACTCTACAGAAGAAAACCGTTTAAGTATGCCAGCAGAGATTCATGAATCAGATTGTCAACAATGAAGGCGAAGCCCGTTCTTCTAATTCGGCTATGGCGATACACTAAAGCAATCTGCTGTTTGCAGTCTCTTGCTGAACCGCTCAATCTAATAACGCCGAAAACCGTTCCGAACGAATCATGATGCTGTACAACAGTTCCAAACATCACGTTAAATCACAAGATCAAGCACATCGCACAACTGATCGCGATGCCTACGATAACTCATCAACTCATGTGATGTTGCAACTTCTTGACTCAATATAAAACTATTCAGAAACATAACCCTCAAACGAGACATGTAAAGAAATACTCCATAGGAAACTAGTCCAAGAAGGTCACAACCATGGATAAAGATCTAACACACCGTCGATCTCCTTCCCAGAAAAAAACTCACAGCCCCTCATCTGTCTCGCACCTTTAAGATCGACACCAAAATTCCAATTCCCTGCGACAGCTTCCCAAATGCAAACGTCACGGAAGTTCTAACTGGAATCACCCTCCAGAACTTGCCCCTCATTGTCCACCGACGGGTGACAGGCGCGAACCCACGCACAAGTTGCAGCGGGGGCAGCCAGTGACGAACTAAAAACAACCAAACGAACGCCGGACGAAAACCGCTAAAACCTTAGACGATTCGTGCACAGATGCTGGAGGCCCATGTGCGGTGCGAAGCTGCGCAATGCGAACCCGAAATTTAATCAACCCCCACGAAAGCGAGCTCCGATGGCCGTGACAAGAAATTCAATTTTTGTCTTACACGTCCCGCCTCTTTAATTAGCACTTCTACGTCGCGGCCCTCCGATGGCACATCGACGGCGTATATTCTCCCGACTCTCGCATCGTATCTAGGATTCATCCCGCGCGATTAGGGGAGTAGCGCGGCGAGATTGGATAGTTCGGATTGTTACACTGTCGACATGACGCTAGACTGATACAGTGGCGAACGTCCTGCTGTGCAACAGCATTGCACAGGTCTGTGTCAACGAGGCGCAATTCACAGATCCTCGGTCTCCAGCCATTGTCGCACTGGACTTGTGATCGTTTACAGTCCCTCGACCATCTCCGTGAAGTAACATGTGTTTTCATGTACAATTTTCCTGAAGAGTTTCCTCGCCGTTTTTTTTTGTGTTGTTATTCTTTTGTCATCCGGTGCCATTCTGTAGGGAGGTGTAACAGCAGCTTGCCTACAAGGCCGTGCTACAATCATGCACATAGCTTCAGCGCCGACTCGTCCACTCATCGACACTAGGGTTAAAGCTCAGTGACAAAAACTTGTCACGTTCTTTGTACACCCGAAGGTGATTTCTCAAACAAGCAAGCAACCCTGCTGCTGCACACGGAGTGTAACAGAATGGAAGGAAGGTTGCGTGGTGACGTGAGGCTTCAGCAGCAACGCATTGTTGGATTCATTTTCTTGTAGGAAATAGACAATAAGCTTTTGACAACTACTGCACCATATCCACTCCCAGTTGGGCCCCGCAGTGAACTGGCGTTGGACACCCGAAATGAGCCGTATCATCCGACTATGAACCATTATGTGGAAGAGACACCGAGAGTTGTTGTGCTTTTGGGTGCGTAGCAGGGAAGGCAAGAGTAGGTATTTGGCCATGAACGATTAGGTGCTCCCACCATGCAAAAGAACTAGTCGCTTGTTGACCTAATATTCGTCACTGCCCACCTCTTATCACATTGAGTGGCATTTTCAGGAATTGGGCGTAGATACCCATGTCTGTATTCATGGTTGCTGTGAGAGTTGAATGTGTTGTGCTGGGGTGAATGGATGTGAAGTGTTTGTTTCGTTTTCAGTTTGTGATTGGGGATAATAAAAACACTGTAACCAGAACCTCTGTAAGTAATGTCCAGCCCCAAAAGGATTCCGTTTCAGAAAGCTTCATGGATTTGGAGAGTAATGTGGTTTCCTACTTCAGATAGTCTGCGGAGCTACGCTTGAGCGTTTGAGTGACCTAATACAAAACCATTGTAAGCGAATGACTGGACAGTCATACCTGGATTCTTACACATGGATTCATACCTGGATTCTTTTCTGAATGTGTACAATGTTGGAAATAAGCAACCTTTTTAGATATGAACTGGAGTTGAAGTAAACACTAACAACCACGCAATTGATTGCTTCAAATAATACATAAACTATGACTAATAATCTTGAATAATCTATCCTTAGCTTACATGAATTCTCTGCTTCACGGAGGCACCAGCGAAACCTGGTTTCAACTAATAAGAGACACAAAAGCTGTACACTTGGACCAAGTCCTAAAACCAAGCACACCTTAACAATAAGTGCAGATACCCCAAACTATTTTCCATACGGAGATAGCTGCAAGCTCACAGATTATCATTTGAGCTTGAGGTTATCACAAAGGTGACCAAGCTCAGGCCGAGCTTTCATCCAAGCACTGAATGAGGTTTCGCCTGCGCAAGCATTGCCATGAAAAGCAACCCTGTTGAAAAGATACGACCTGAAAGCTATCAAGAAAAAATACCTCCTGCACAAAGCAAAACCATATCCAAGCAATTAGCTACCCTGAACTATATGAGTGGACCTATACTCTAGTCAAAGGGTCCACAAAAATAATAAAATTTAACCCAGCACCACAGAACAAGCAAGAAATCCTCTAAAATAATATCCTACGCTTGACAATTTAATGTAACAATTGTCGGTGTCTCCTAGAATTCCACTGTGTCGCAAAGTTTATTCAGAAGTCCAAACGTGCGTTACAAATAGGTTCTGAGAATTATCATGATGAAACGAACGAAAGTCAAACATGTCTGAGCCACTCACCTGAGGGCATTGATACCCATATCAAGGACAAAATCTCTACGTTCATCTTCTGCATTAGAAAAGCTATCCAACTGAACCTTGTACTCAAAAATGTCATCTCGCAAATGCCCAGCTCCACCGCATCTGTGACAGCATTCACCATTTCTACGGCTCGTCAACATAACATTGAGATATGGAAATGAACACTAATAAACTTCATCATCAAAAAATGAGAATAAAAGTAAAACTCCTCAATTAGAATCCAAAATCTCAATCCCTATCGTGAATAATATACGACACTACACATACATCCTGCATCTAAAGACCGTAACCATAATAGTACAATCGATACACATAAAAACAGGCTTAGATAGCTAGTCACTATTTCGACAAGGTAAAGTGTATAGGAAGAAAGTGAGATGTACAAACCGGTCAATGACTACATCCACTTCGGTTTTACTAGCTGGCCCACTGGCCAAAACTCGAGTAAGGCTCGAAATATCACGGTAGTCTCCCTGTCGAAAGGCCTCCGTATCATTGGCAGGCCTTGGGACCATCCTATTGTTTGCCAATGAATGAGGACTATTTATGTCAGCAGACTTTGAGGATGATACAGATAAGCTGGTCAATTGCAGTTCAGCTTGCAACCTAAGGCAGGTCATAGACATTGCGTACGCGATACCTCCAAATCCTGTATGTGATATGAAACAGTACTCCACCCCAGGGCCAGCTCTGCAAGAATAACAGGATTTGTGACTTGTAAAATCAAGAGGGTGCCAAATATTACATACAAAGGCAAAAAATTTAATTATTATTTAATTTTTTATTTTTAAAATGATTATAAGAAGTAGCAGAAGAAGAAGAAGAAGAAGAAGAAAATAATAATAATAATAATAATACACAGAATTATTCAACACAATTTATTGTCCTCATGATATATTTATTCAAGAATTAAAAATAACTACTTATTAGCTTTTAAACCAACAAGCCCTTATAGCTGATTAGAGGAACGTACTCATCCAAGCGCTGGTGAATGACATCAACATCAGAAGCCAAAGCAGCCCTTTCCCTAGTAAGGGGAACACGCTGGTAGTCAACATTGTATCCCTCTTGTCTTAAACCGGCATACACCTCAGCAGGGGTTTGAACATCCTCAGCACTGATGACTTCCCAATAACCGATGATGTCTGAATGACCAGTAATTGGGTTATACTCCTCCTTATGCAGAAGCATTCGACCTCCTGTGCGCTCAGCTTCTGCAATAATGTCGTTCTTCAACCTGCTCTCCATTTGTTCAACCTGCACAACAAAATTTAAAATGCTGATAAACAGGAAATACCACAAGATAAAACCGTTCGGTGCTCTTGCTGGGCAGAAATTTGCACTTGTCAACTCATCAGCTGCATCGAACACCATGTAATAAAACCGTCCAAATCACGATTATTTCACTCAACAGGGGTATCCTTCAACCATGCTCCATTAATACAAATAATAATCAGAGTTACTGAATTGGTTTTTGAATAAAAGGAGACTTACCACATGACCTTTCACACCAACGTGTTTTAAGGTGCTAGCAGGCTGTTCAACTTCGCGAAGAACGAATGGATTACCATGTATATACACCACTACTTCTTCGCGTAAATCCGTCACAACAGCTTTACGCTGCATCCCACATGATGGTTCGGCTAAGAGATGACTTAAAACACCTTTGGCCCCTTCTATGGTGGGAGTAGCCATACTGTGCACAGGAAATCCCTCCACCTGTCAAGGTAATGTTTTTATGGTATATTGATTAGATATCAAAAATGATAAAAGATGAAGCAATTTATGTAATTACTCAAACGCATTAAAAACCCTTTTCGAAAGAATTCAGAACTCCGATAAATGTGTCTTCTCAAGTGACCAAGCACACCTTGCAAACATGAGGAGCACCAGTAATCGGAACATGATCTGAAGTAGTCTTCTGCCCAGGGAAAAAATACATCTTGAGGATAGAATGTTTTCCTAATATCGACCCGTTGCGCGACTTCACAACAGCTTCCATTACAGAATCTTCCAGATTGTTCTCCCCATGTGTTTTGAACTCCATCTCCTGATACATCCAATCAGGGACCAGTTAAGTCTTAATAGCAAATGGAATAACTTTCGCGATGATATGCCACGATAAGTATACATCTCACAAGATCATATGAAAAGAATGGTGTAAGTTAGAAAAGGATTGGGAATAGACTTGCTAACATTGATAGTAAACACACGAGTTGGTCTTAATCGCATGCTCCATTTCATTTGCTTCACTTCAGGATGACGATGAAGCCAGGCCTTGAAAGTTGTTCCAGAACCACCTCGACAGTAACCATCAGAAGCATCACTGTTCAAATAAGCAGCGAAACCGATCAACATCAAGTATCGCTCCAGATACTCGATACCTCTGGTCAAAGCTGCACGGCGAGCATAATGCTCCAGCTTTTGATCATTGAATGCCCGTCGATAATGCAAAACAGCTTGCCGCAAATTTTGCATAGCATCGCAATGGTCAATTACAGCATCCAACGCCGCCCGACACGCAGCCCCATTGTCAAGAAGGCGCGTTATCTTCCGAACAATTGGAATATCATCCATCACAAATCCAGCTACACAATTTTGATCCTCAAACCTGTTCGCTGGCCTATCCACATGTGTGTCAATGTTTACCTCCTCTCCACTACTTGAACAGCTCTCTGGTTCCACCTTTTGTAGGGGTAAACCAGGCGTACTCTGTAGGAATCCTATCTCGAGTCGCAAAAGTACCAGGCACGCTGTCACCATCCCAGTTGTAGTGCGACCTCGCCCCATCTAAATCACAAGAAGGAAAATTTAATAAGATCACATGAAGCCAAGCTACGATGATCACTGCAATTATATTAACCAGAGAAAGCATTCTCAAGCATTCATGGGGCTTGCCTGACAGTTGAAGACGAAGGCCGTGTCCCTAGGAGCAGCTGCAATGCGAGCGGCGAGAGCACTGAAATCGGAACTTTTAGGAGCTTTGCCATCAGTAATAGGAACCCTGCCATATTCGACGCGGACACCTTCGGCTTTCAAGCACTCAAAAACTTCTAGGGGTGTCTGAACAACACCCGGACCAACAGGCTCCCACGCATCAAAAATGAGCCCGTCCTCTGTCTCATGATTTACCATTATAGCACCTGAATAGCGCTCAGCTTCCCGTAGAATGTCATCCTTCAATCGAGCTTCCATCTGCTCCACTCTTGCCGTGTCTATGCCCTGCGAGTCCATACACCAACATCAGCACATATTCCTCTCAAATCTAACCACAAAAGCGTGACATATATAATCTAGTCACACAACCAAGCTAAACAACAGCACTCACATTCCAAAGACTTTAGAACAGAGCACAAGTCAACTCGAAAAATATTTGATCCGTTCAGGAAGAAATCAAACCGTAAACAATATACCCATACTTCACTTCATTTTGGCGATAACACGTCAAGGAAATGAGACCAAATCAAAATCAAAATAAAAATAAAAATAAAAATAAAAGAAAAAAAGAAATGAACTATACAAATGATAATGTTAACTGAAAACTTACTTCATATTCAAGCATATTCTTGTAGGGACGCTCAACTTCGCGCAGGACGAATGGCTTCCCATTGATATATACCACAGGCTCCTCCCTCATATTGTGCCATAGCACAGGTCGCTCATTGCTACCTTCGCTAACTCTTTCCAATACAGCATGAATACCTTGAACTGTTGGATTCGCAACGCCGTACACGGGGAAGCAGTCGATCTCCCTAAAATTAGGAGCACCTTCCAATAGCTCTGGAAGAAACTGGTTTTGACAACCAGGACAGTGGTCACTTTTGAGCACTGTCTGCCGCCCTAGAACTTCTCCATTCCTGCTGGCCACGACATTTTCCATCCTGCTGGGACGCCCATCTGTAACTTTTGAAGGCATTTTGATAGTGCCCACTGGGGTGTTACTGTAACCTAACGCACCCATTGGATCCCGCCTCAGCAACCTGTCAATACAGTACATTGGCAATATACAAGAAGAATTTTCATAAGAAACCAATAGATGTTCAATTTTCAGTCGAATGCCAAGCACAAAACTAAAATATGGAATACCTGCGAAGAATGCTGTAGAGCTCTGGCCGATCGCGCATCCACTGTTCAAAACCGCCTTGACCTGGTCGGTGTGTAGAGCCCAAGCAAGTTTTGTCGGTGTGAATGTAAACAGCGAAGCAGATGAGGAAGTAGTATCGCTCTAAATACTCCACAAAGAATGAGAGTCCTGCCGCCCGCTTTTTCTCATCAGCTTGCCTCACGATACTACTTCGATAACTGGCAATGGCCTCCCGCAAGTTCTGCATTTCATGACGCTTGAGTCCTTTTATAAATAAAATAATATATAATAAAATAAAATTTGAAAGACGACCAGCGGTACTCAGGATACAATCCAATGCCTTTAAGGATGCTATTCCAACATTTGAACATCATACAACTCATAATACCTGCATTGCTGAGCAGCTATCAATAACTTTATCGACCTGACGTTTCCCTTCTACTCCCCCCTGTTACAAACCCATGTAATCACACATTAGCAACTGAACCTCACAATGGTGAAGAAACAGTAAGCAGAAAAATCATTCAAGCTGATGTGTCGCTGAAGGAAAGAAACTCATAGAAACGCAGTCAGGGAGGATACTCTTATTTAGCCAAAAAAGAGACGAGTACTTGCAGAGCACGGTCTATATCTCTACTTATATGCTCACCTCCAATACCCGGATAAGACTACGAATTACAGCATATTCTCCTCTTCTCAGAGCCTCTTCGGTGTCTGGTACGTCATATACCATTTCATCCCTCGCCTCATGAATCGTTCCCATCGAACTTGACCGAGGAAGCCCTGCAATGGATTCAATAATATTCATGAATGTCTTATCTAGCAATCTATGACATGTTCCATCGAGTTCTTAAATGATGGAATGTTTCTGGTTACTAAAATCTTCACTAATGAATCAACTATTAATAGTCCAGTAAAACATAATAAAAACAGTCTCTGACACAACCTCTAAATCGAGAACTTGCCCGAGTCTGAGCTCTGGTTCATATTAAAGGAACCTATTTCAAACTAGCAGAGCGAAAATAGTGAGAAAAGCTTAAGTTTTCACAAGACCTGAAGCCCCCATGCGCTTAAAATGAATCAAAGTAGCAATGACCATGCCCGTAGTAGTGCGACCGCGGCCCATTTGGCAGTTGAATACCAGCTTGGTGCCAAATTCAACTTGCGAAAGACGCTGCACCTGCAGCAAATAACAGCAGTCATGCGAAGATCATACATCATCATCAATGACCAGGCCATACACAAGATCGGACAACAGACTCTTCTGCTTGAAACAAGTAACCTGAGAAAAAACTTACCAGAGAGTCAAAGTCGCGCACTTTCGGTGACTTTTCATCCGTGATAGGAATTCGCTCGTAATCGACCAAGTAACCTTCTGCCTGTAGACTCTCGTAAACCTGAATACACCGTTTAATCTTTAAGTCTCTACATTGAATGCTACCAAGTAGTAAAATAAAACAAAATCTAAATAGGAAATTACAAATTTAGGTATGAGAATACCTCAAAAGGTGTTTGAATAGAGTTTGGGCCCACTGGCTCCCATTGATCTATCATCTGACCATCAGGAAGCTCATCACTAACCATGATCTTGTTGGCATACCTACGTCATTTTCCAGAAACCATGTACATCCAGTCACCAACAACGCTTGCTTCTCGAAATCAATATAAATTCTTTACTGGAAATATAAGACTGACAAACACGACCCACTTGAAGAGATTCTAGGCAATTCAATGAAATGAATCGGAAGAATGAGGAAGACAAGATGAAAAAAGGGGAGTGTGTTTATGCGATCAGACCCCTTCACGTTAAATCGAGAATGGCTTCTAATAGAATCGGTAAAGTGACTACAAATAACCATATTCCGAACAAACGAAATCTAAAAGTCAAATTGTAGGGATGAATACTTGAGGAAGAAAAATAGCAAACCTCGCTGCTTCCAGTAGAACATCTTCCTTGAGGCGAGATTCCATCTGCTCAACTCTTTGTCTGTTGATTCCCTGAATCAACGAAATATATAAATAAAAATTAGTCACAGAAGTACTCTGCAGAACCATGGATTAACATCCCCATGGAGAAAACTGCTGTAACATCAAGCACGTATGTGGAACTAAGTAATCTTGCAACACCGATCCAGGACATCACTGAGTTCCTACAACGCTCTGTGAAGGGTACAACATCGTGGATGGTACACAAAAACTATTCAAATAATTCGGCAGTGAGTTGGTGTTATGAGTGCTTACAGTATACTCGAGATTTGAAAAAGGTCGTTCCACCTCTCTCAAGACGAATGGGCGACCATTGACATAAATAACCTATAAATATGTAAGTAAATAAAATTCAGCCGAAATAATTAAGAGCCCTCCAACAGACTATGAAGAAAAAATGCTTTACAGAATATTTTAAGAAGCTGAACTTCTAAGAGAAACGTTTCATCAACGACAATAAATTACTATGACGAAGCATTTCATACCGATGAAGACCTAGCACACTTTTCCTATGGTCAAGAAAATAATTTGTTGGCTGTACAAGAAAACATACCGGTTCCTCCCGCAGGTTGTGCCACAAGACTCGTTGGCATCCATACTTACTTGCTCCTATCAGCTCTAGAATTCTGCGTATGCCATCAACAGTTGGAATGGCCACGCCATAGACTGGCTTGTTTCCCACCTGGAAAGAAAAGAAAAGAAAAAAAAAAAAAAAAAAAAAAAAAAACGTGTAAGAGACATACAGATGCAATTGATGAGCGCTCCCGTATTTGAGAAAACAAGATTAAATTCCTTTCACCACAGCATTCTCCAGGTTCAAAATCAAATGTTTCGAGTAAGACTTCAAGTAATCTACCAGAAAAGAAATGCCAAGCACCACAAAACGTATCAGCCAAGTATTGCAGAGTAGTCAGCAAGATGAGGTAGCAAACTCTTGTTCCCTAGAGATTGCACAAGGAGGTTGCAAGAATGCTTGGTAAAGATGGAAATGAAAGCGGCATGCATTCTTAGACTCTGAATTCGAGCTCTTAATTTCAAAAGTAAGCTGTCGCAGGCTGTTGTGTTCTCATTGCACTTAATACGTCTGAAAAAGCAATAAAATCCACCTGTCTGTAATTGGGAGCTCCTTCCACGTGAGGCAGTAAGCGCTTGTTCTGACAACCAGGGAAGTGATCACTCTTAAGGATTGTTTTCTTGCCAAGCACTGATCCGTTTCTGGAAATGATAACATCCTCTGGTTCTCGTGAAACGGCCATGTTGCATTGAGTTCCAGCAGTCTAAAGCCAATTAAAAGAGGAGCTTCTTTACTGATCGAAACAGAGGAAAGAGAAGACAATAAAGAAAAAGATTAAAATCTTCTCCGGATCTCGAGCACCAGATTCTTAGTCACCAACTCCGTTTACTGAGGCAAATCCACGAACTACCTGTCTACAACCATTGGCAGCTGCCACGGCCTCAAACTGCCTTAAACGCAAGCTGCATTTTCACTCTCCTACATCTAGCCCTACGCCATGGCTGCACCATAACTTCCACCTTATCTCGTCTCTCCTCAACACTGCCACAAACTCGACAACGCGCATCTTCTTCGTATGTCGTGGCTAATGCACCTATTCCCACTAGATTGCTGTATTCATTTTCCCAATGCGGCTTCTAACACATCTTCCGACTCTCGTAGAAGTCAAACACAAAATCGGCACAAATAATAATTCTAACAATTGCAACCAGAAGTAGATTATGAATCACGGCCAGACAACGAAACCGGCAACAACAAATCATGTAGTGAGGATGACATGCTAAACAGAGAGGCTCGACGTGTCCAGCTGCACTAAAATGACGGCGAAACGAGAGACCGAGCGAGAAACGAAGCAGAAGTGACTAGCAATCACGATGCGTCCACTAGAACAAACTGTTACAAACACGTTTCCAGTCACGAAACCATCACATGTTTCATGTGAACGCGGTCGAGAGGAACAGTAATAGCCACGACAGAGGAAAGGAAAACCCAAACACAAGAAGACTTCTTCGTCACCTCTGGACAACTAACTCAATCCCCCGCAGACACCACTTCGGAGTTCTACTGAAAGCTACACACACTCACAGATTACTCGAAAAATATGTATAAAGAAGAAGAAGACGAAACAACAACAGTAACGAAGGAGTCTAGAAGGTGGATGGCGCAACTCGGGAGAGGACGGCGGCTATGCTTTCGACTTCTAAGCTCATGCTGACTAATACAGGACCTTGCGCAACACTCAGAAACCCCAGCAGCAGATCAAATGGCTGTTGTACAAATAAGAAGACAAGGCTTCGCCCACGGCTGTAGCATGTGATGTAAGCCTCGGGAATGGGTCTAATCACGATAACTGGGGAAGCTTTTGTTGTGTGCATGTCCAGAATATTCATGTGTTTCCATGCCTATCATCTTCCAAAGGCACCCTAAGCCCTTGGACCAGTGAAAACAAACTACATAGTGGGGCTGGTCCTGCCCTGACCCTAAAACTAAATACATAAAAAACTCAATACATGAAGTGGTATTGAAAAAAATGAAATAATAAACTTCAGGAGCATGAATCATGTGCCAGGTGTGTTGATCCATCATGGACTGAAGGACCAAATAGAAAACCCATGAGCAGTGAAAACTCATGGCTGGTCCACTCCAAAGCTGTCCTTTGATTGGCACAAATATCTAGACAAATCAGACTTGGAAACAAGAAGCCCTGGCTGCAAAACTCCCCTTCCGATTCCATATCAAAAGGGCAGTTAACAGCAAAGCTTCACTGGGCCCCCAAAAAAACTGTCTACCCCACACAGGTCATACAAAATTCCTTTGTACCCCAACCTTGCCCAGCTGATCATCATCCCAAAGGCAAGCTCATTTTGGTAGGGTGAAGGGGAGAGGGAGGATCTTTCAGAAGCATCACAATGAACTTGAAGAATATTCCCACCTTGTGTGTGTTTAGAGCCCATGTGTTTGAAAGCATATTCATGCCATCTCTCACATATTCTCTTCTCTTGGGGTATAGATATGGTGTGTGCCTTGGGAACCTGAGCTCCAGCTTACACTTGTGGCACACAGCTCCATTGTTAGGGCCTAGGATGTGCCACTTAACTGGGAGAATGTAACCACCTCTACTAACTCGTCCACAACCTCCCTCAACCACCATTGTAGCTTGGTACCAGCACTCCCACCACACCACAAGGCTTGTAGCCTTGCCACATCATGCAGTGAGCATGGCACTCTGCTGCCACATCAGCTGTTCATGGTTGCCACCTCATTATTTGAATTGGTACAGCTCAGCAAGTGTTTCTCCTCCAACCAGGCTTGACTCATCCAAGTGTTTGACAGGGATAAGAGAGGAGCAGCCATAAGTTGTGTTGTGTTATTAATGAGCCCCTGAACTAGAGAGAGCCTTTGTGTTGGTTTTCCTCCCCACATGTTATTCATGGATCTACTCAGAACTGAGTCTTTGCAGTTGCTGTGGAACAAAGACTTTTTCTTTTTGTGATTTTTTTTATCTTTTGACTCTCTTTCTTTTTTTGGTTTTTTCATGTCTTGTTTAGTATTAGCTAGCTGGATCCATTCTCCTGCAACATCACCACCATGACCATTTACCTGCAACCCCTGTTAATGATCACACAGGAGCAAGCTTTTTGTTTTGTTTTTGTTTATATATTATTTTTTAATGGAAAAATATCCTGAGATGTATGTGCCCTTCAAGAGCACTTTAAAAACTCCCCACCAAAGGTTCAAATTTGTTTGCACTCACTGTCTCCAATTACTGTCAGTAAAACTGTTATTCATGGATTTCAATACACATTTAGCTGTATGTTTTTATATTTGTACATCTCTGAAGTACAACATGTTAACAAGCTCTCAATAATGAAAAAATTAACTAGAAAAATACCTGTTAAATAACAGGACAAATATTGATATCCAAAACAAGGCAATTACTTTTAATGGGATTATATATCCTATTTGTGTATTTCATGCTTTTAAAATTAAATAAATAATAGACTAGACAAGACTAGACTATACTATACTGAAATAAAAATACAAGAATAAAACACATCAAAAATTATATTAATGTTGTTTTGGAATGGAAAGAAAAATAAAGTTCAAATCCAGAACTTGCCATTGCAGATGAGCAGATCCAATTTCAACTGTATGCATGTGTGTAAACTTCTGGTGCACAAAGTAGAGTGTGAGGGTGCAGAAAATTGACCATTTGATGAAAGAGCATTTGCTCAACCTAAGAGCAAAGAAAAGTAAGTAAATAAATTATTTATTCATGTAAGCATGTATGTATGTACATATGAATAAATATATATATATATATATATATGTGTGTGTGTGTGTGTGTGTTTGTGTGTGTATATGTGAATAGTAGTATTGACACACTTTTGACTTTTTCATGGACACAATGGAGAGAGGGAGGGCATGGAACTTGTGGGTACCTCCCCCTCTCTCCCTCCTCCCGCCCACCCTCACATCATTTGCATGCTTCGACACCTTGACTTAACCTTCACAAACACAAGCCCTGTGAGCACCATTTCCTTCATTTTCAAACTAGCCCACAGAGAATCTGCAACCCCCCCCCCCTTTGCCTTGCAGTAGGTATCCAGATGGCTAGAATATGCAAATTGGATATTGGATGAAGATTCATTCTTACACAAATTCCATCCCCCTCAGATTCACTTTTAGAACCTTTGAATGCATGTCTGTATACTCAAATGACTGGATGTTTAAGTTGCAATGGTCAATTGAAAGAGCGGGACATGGAAAGGGTAGCATCTAATTTGATTTTAATTAGTTTGATATTCTGGTTACAAGCTTGGGTTGGTATGTGATTTGTGAATCTCCCTGAGTTGCCAGACTGTTAGCTCTGATATAGAAAAACTAACAAGCAAATTTTCTAATGGAATTGGTCTCATGGAATTGGTCTCAAGGAGGATGGGATGTAAAACAAGGTGCTAATCCATACATTCTTCCCTTCATATATATATATATATATATATACATCCATGTGTGTGAATGAATGGATTGCTAAGTAACAAGGAGATTGATAAGAACAAGGCAGAATATCCATGCTGCTCTCCTCGCCCTCAAGAATAGAAATAAAGTAAAATAAAATAACTAACAAAAAAGAGGAATAAAATTAAAAAAAAATGTATATTTGCAATGTAATAGCCACGTGGGAAGGTTTGGCTTGAAAAGACGCAACTCTCAAGTCACAAATCCTGTTTTGTCTTTTAGTTTTGCTCTGGTTTTGTGTGTTTCTTGTTCTGTTTTTCCTTAATTTGGTGGTTTTCAATGTTGTCACTTCGGTACATTTTGACCTTTAATATTCTTTCACCCTTATTTTTATTTATATTTTTTCATGTTTTCACTTTTCCTCCTTCTCAGTTTTTGTTATTAGCTGCCCTTGATGTAAGAACAAGGGGGAGTGAGAAATAGAGTGAGAAAAGTGCCTTATGGAACAACATTTCATACTTCTCTTGTAAAATGGTAGCTTGACTACGGTCATCAATGGCTTTGTCAACCAAACTCAACATGACCAAGAGTGTGAGAGTGTGTGTGAATCAACTGTTCCCTCATTGTCTCACAATCTTTCCATTAACCCTACTACACATTTGAATTACTATTTGTGGCACCGATGCATGATGAACACAAGGGGGTGGAGTTATAGTATTGAGAGGGTGACACTACCAACAATAATTATATTACTAATAATAAGAATAACAACAATAATAAGGCTTTTAATGATAAGAAATACTTGATGATATCCTCATACAAAACAATGATCAGGAAAAGGATGACATTGGATGATTCAGAAAGCAGGAAATGCAACCAAGAATACAAATGAGGGCTTGCCCCCCAAAGCCAATGTAATTTTCTCTTCCTCTAGCCCTAGTTTTAGAGTTTTAACAGCTCATAGGGTCCAAGTCAGACAAGGAGTTATACAAACTCTTTCAATGGTCCTTTCCCTTCTTCCAAGCTGGCCACTCTTGTTCTGAATTCACAAAAGAATGTCACAGTTAAAAGCAAAAATCAATTCTACACAAGTTTTGAAAAATAAGTGAAATCCACGTTTTTCCTCAAGTAACGTGGGTACAACTGAAAAGGTATTTTGATATCATATTCTAGTGTTTTTTCACAGCAATGGTTGCTATTCAACAACTAAATTGGAAAAGTCCACACAACTATGCAAGTATATTAAGAACTTCTATCTTACACTTTTCATCCAATAATTATAACCATGACTTTATACCACGTTTTGAATTTTTTCCTACTGATATAAAGTCGTTCTTTTATTTTTTGAAAATCGACGATCATATATTTTCTTATTTATTTCAAAGTTTGCAAGAAGAATGTTTGTCCACATATCAATTCAATGAAATTCAACTCCACAATAAATAAATAAAAGATGCTTTTGAAATAAACACGAAGACTTTTCTGAAAAAGTATAAAGTGGCTGTTCTGTGAATAATAAAATATTAATGGATGTGTCTGTATTATGAAAAATTGAATCTCTTTCAACGCGATTGCACCCGTAAAAGCCTCACAACCTAGCCACCATAATATTGCAACTTTACTTAACAACATTTCATGTGCTTTGATTAAGGTACCATAAACAGTAATTTAATTGACCTTATTGTCTCAAAAGTCCTAAATATTTAAACTCATGACATACTTAGTACCAGGAAGTAGTTTTTTCTTCTCTACGACATTTACAAGTTTGATAGTGTTCTCAAAAGACTATTAGTGTTATGATTGCTGTACTTTAAACATTTAAAAATTAAACATGAAAAATGCATTATAGAATACTAAAAAGTCAAGGTTTTAAGAAATTATTATTTTATCAAGTCAAAATATAGAAAAAATAAAAATGAAAATTTGATACATATTTTTGACATGTTTTTGTACACAATAAATCTCCACATGTTGATTAAAAAACATTTTACTTAAAGTTATACACGACTTACTTAAAATTCTACGTTTAAAAGCAAGTATTATTTTTTATAATATCCTTTCTTAAATTTTTAATCACAATAAGATAATTAAATATACAACATAATTTAAAAAATCATTTTATGCTTCACAAAATATTTTTATTACAATTCTGGAAATGTTTCTTTGAGAATTTAATACACAGTTTGTTTATGTCCTAATAATTACATATTAGATTTTAATTTAATCACCAACAATCTATTTAATTTAATGCGTTTTTGAATATTATATATATATATATATTTGTAAAATAAATCATGCAATCTAAAATATAAAATTAAAATTAAAAAACTAATATATATATATATATATATAGAAAAAATTATTAACTTTAAAATTTAAGCTATTGTAATGAAATATTTCATTCTACATACCTCAAACCATTCTTTCTACCTTATGATATATTAATATGTATATATATATATATATATATATATGTCTTTTCTATTATTGCCTTGACTTGTACCACATTAGACAACTAAAATTTGCAATCCAACTCCCAAAACTGCCATCACCACAATGGAATTTTTGACTTTTCATGAGCAACTTTCATTGGACCAATAATATAAAGTTGTGGTGAGTTGCTGAGTTGCAAAAAAACTAACACACAAAATTGGAATGGAAAAGAAAGAGAAGCAATGAAGGGGGAGGTGGGTAGCGGGAAAATAGGCATGAATAGTGAGCTACTAATCTAGAAGGTAATGAGTATAAGAGAAATGCAATTAGTGGGTCAATTTATGATTTCTGTGGATCAATTTAACACTTCTCTCTTTCTTTCTCTCTCTCTATACATATATTAAATTAATAAAAGATTTTAATTCAAGAACAGAGAGAAGAATCCAAGAGCTATATGTTGTTCAAACAATCTTATTCTATCCGACTCTGTACACTTTCTATAGCCAATCCTATGTTGGAGAAATAAAAGAATTTAGCACAATACCTGTGGTACTTTTCTTTATATATATATATATATATATATATATTTATTTTATATTAAACAATCCTCTCTCGACATTTATTTCACAATGAGCTGCAACTATGCTTTGATTCTTTCTAAAAACCATCATTTTTTACACGTCAAGGAAAAACACGTGAATTCAAGTTCATAGCAAACAAAAAGAAGAAGAAAAATATTCCACCACACCTACTAACCCAAACTTACATTCCCTTTGCAGAAGAAGTTAAGAGTTGAGAATAATAGCCAATCAGGCTTCTAAAAGTTGGTTCAAAATTACCACCCAATCTCTATTTTTTCATATCAAAACATATTAATGTATTCTTCTTTGGTTTTGATGCTTTGCAACAAACCACAAAATGTTTCTCCAAGTTCACCTTGCCTTCTCATCTCTCTTTATTCTCTTTCTTTACTACTAACACCATCTTCATTATTATATTAATAAACGTAAAAATAAACTTATTTTAGTGATATATATATATATATATATATAATTGTTTAATGGTGGGGTGGATCGAGGTAAAGAAAACCAGCCATGATCAGAACAGAGAGGCGACACAAGACTTGGAGGTGGGTGAGATAGAGAGGGGCAGGTGTGAACAGAGCGAGTGAGACTGTGTAGGTGTGAACAAAGCCGGGTATGACAGTAGCAGGTGGTAAACGGACGGGGTGACACACAGGAGCGCTTTTGAAAAGGCCAGGAATGACAGAGGCAGGTGGGAAAAGGGCGGGGTGAGAGACGGGGCGGGGGGTGAAGGGAAGCCTCAATGGAAGCGGAAGAAGAGGATGCCGCACTGGTTTTGCAGATCGTCTAGTTGTGTGGCTTGCTGCTTGCCCAAGCTCTCCAGCTCCGCAATTTTGATCCATTGTTCCGCTGTCCTCTGTTCCAGAATCCCGATCCGCCCCGCCAGCCTACTCTCCATTGCCTTCAGCTTTGCGTCCATCTCGTTGCGCAGCAGCGTCTCTGTCGCCGTTAAGTTGCCCTGCGATTAGCGCAGCAATTTCACGAATGAAACGGGGAGGGAATGGTATAGTCATTAGCTGAAGGGGGAGAGGTTCAGTTGCTTGCTGTATAGGATCTTTCAGTCCGTGTAGGTTGTGGCGCAGATTTGTTCGTGCTCTTGTCTGACGTTGTCAGTGTCGGTCATGGAAAGATAAGATGCTGATGTGTCGAGGGGGGTCTCTTTCTGGCTAACGTATCATTGCGCGCGGAGTCCAGGTAACGGGCAGAGATTTTTGTATGAAAGGTCAGCCTTTGAAACCGGATGTAGAGAGGCGATTTTTTTATTTTTTGTTTTTTCTTGCCCATCATATATACATTTTTGGTTTGCTTGCCTGTGAATCTGGCGAGTTTGTTACCATATTGTCTTGAAGGTACAGCGGCTGCACAAGATGTATTCATGATTTAACTCTGTTGTTATCAGGAACTGTCCACATCGTGTCGATTGCCGCTGGTGGATGGGGAACATTGTCATGAACAGTGTGGACTCGACTTTTAACACTTAATTTGCAACTCGGAATCCTGATTGGCGTTGTTAAACTCACCAGAAGTTGCTTCTCGAACCCCTTTCCTTAAGGCATTTCATGATCAAACCTCAAATGCTAGAGCAATAGTTGTGGCGATCACATCTAGCCTAGCTACCGACAATCCAAGCGATATTATGTTCATACGAAACATTATCGATACATGTTGATGAACGTTTTCACCTTTAACACCTGAACTTCGTCATATAACTTGTCAAAATTATCTGCAATGTATTTGGAATGCTGGCCGATAGTGATTTGGATCTCAGAACTTCCTTTGCCATTTGCAACCTGCTCTGTTGGACTCCCTAGTTCTGATTTAGCATCTTCTTCCAAAGCCTTGTCTGACATTTTCTCCTGTTCATGCAAATTTCCGCGATTGTAAGTACCGCGAATGAAGCAGTTGTAACTCCTCTATTACTTAGTTTAATTCGCTAAGTAAACCTGTTCCATAGCTGTCGCAGAATTTGGCGACGCATTATCTTCGCGAAAATTCGTATGCCTTTTTAGACACAAAGAGGTGTCAAATTTTCAAGGAGTTGCCCACTCGATCGAGCGTGACTTTTCATACTGACAAGACACACTCCTTCCCCCTGTTGCTTGATGCCTGAAATCAGATTCTAACAACCCACAACTCATTAATTGCAGAAGCTGTCTTGTGTTGTAACGCTCAGGTTCGACCAGACTTTGTGCGTGAAGAGCACGATTTCCTGTCGTCTAAGAGTCAAACGAATTACGGTGTACTGTGTTTATTGCATTTAGATATTATTTGCTATAAAAGCTCGACTTCAAAAATGGCATGTTAAAGCTAAAACCCACACTCACAAATCCATGTTGCAGTAACCTAAATCCTTCCGCTACGGTAGGTACACGTATGCAGCGCCGGTATTAAAAAGTAACAGACCATTGTTACTGAACACTACAACAGCGGTTTCGATGGACTTTAGACTGTATTTATTGAAGACTTTAGACTGTATTTATGCAATAATAAGTAATATGCCCCAGGCGTTGCCTGTTACCGGACGCTGCCCATTACTTCAAGTCTCACACGATATGCACTCATGTCGGCTTCAATAATGCATTTCCACACAGCTGAAGATCAATGGAAATTAGTATAAAAATATACTGCTATATTCTTCCTGCATCAGGGGCAGAATCGGGCACATGGGATAATACATACCCCCTCTAACAGACCGTGTGCTTGTCAATCAAGCACATTAGTAACATCAACTGATTCACGTAAAGCTATTTGTACAAAAATCATTTCTATGCTGCTTGATGAAAAGAATTCATTATCCACCTGCCCAGAATCAGGCAATCTTTGGAATAAATTTGGCATGTGATCCGATCAGTCTACATATATCTAAAGATGAAGCACACCGCATTAGGAGATCTGAATGCAGAAGCTTAGCTACGCAGTCGTCTTATTCACAATTCTCCCAGTTGCAGGGATGCTATGGCTAAATTATAGCCCGAAGGAACAGCCATAATCTCATTTCTGCTGGATGAAGTCTGCTGTTAGCTAGTCCATAACTTCGACCGGCTCGCTGATACCCCAGACCAACAAGGACTTCATGATTGCTCTACGATGCCTGCAAATGCCTGAAAGGACAAATATAGTCCACGGCACTGCGCACTTATGGCAGATAAAGTGGTCTCATAATAGATGCGAAGGGGTCGTAAGATCACCAACAATGAAGCCTACTGGTTGACTTCTTTTTCTGTAAGACATTTAGTACGTTGAGATCAATGAACGCACGCCCCCAACTTCACAATATACAGACCATTATTTTGAAAGATCTACAATATATTTTTTCATCAATGCTACTATCCACAGAACAGCTATGTACAAAGTGCACAAACATGTCTTCTCCATTTTTACATCCTTACCTTCTTACAGAGCTCTCTCATTTGCTCCAATGTTGCGATAAGCTCCTCCTGCTTTGCCAAGACCTCCTTCAGGTCCTGGACCCGGACTCACACAAATATAGCATCGGAAGTTTTATGAGAAAGCTGCCACGCACAAATTGCTCTACCCACTGGACCCGAAACCCTCATTCACACCAACGATACGATATAAAGACAACCAAACATGATCAACATATTCATCAGTCTAACCTTCTTTGTTTCTGCAAGTTCTGCTTCAAGATATTCGATCCTCTCTGCGGAAGGATACACTGGAACTGTTTTAGCAGCTAAACACGTGGAAGACAATATGGTGATATCTTTTTCAAGCCGAGTCATGCGACTGGTAATGAGTTCTGTAGTTTTGGCAAATTCATCAGCCTTCATCTTGTCCTGTGAATCCTTCCCTTCCGGCATCTTTGAGGCTAGCCGGTATGGAAAGCTAAAACAATCCAGAATAGCCAAGAGCAGAGACGATAACATCGACCGAGCGTTTGCACGTGTCGTCCACTCGGGCACAGAAATTTCTGCAATCCAAATAAGCCAGGTTGCTGCTGTGAACTTCTCATCGTGTTATTTTGATTAAGCATCAGGTGACCAATCCCAACTCAAGGTAAATAAAATTATTGATGCTATGCTGTCAGACATAGGCGGCAGAACATGAATGAATTGAGTACCTTCATAAGTTTGACCCTCATTCTTTCTACGATATCCTCTAGGAAATGCTCCAGTGCCTGGCTTCTGTGAACAACAATCAACGATTCATGACCATTAGCAACATTCAGCAAAAAGGTACGTTAAAAAATGAGAACCAAATGTTCGAAGTGAAGTGTAAACATACGTCTGCTTTCGCTGGTGACATCTTTAAATTAGGATGATCCACACTCTTCTCTCCTGAATCAGCAGTAGACTCATCATGTCCACCAATTTCATGCCCTATTTCCTGTAGATCAACAAGCAGCTCCAATCAAATTTACCAATCAAGTCAAAGTCCAAATTCTAAGCCTCAAAAGAAGAAAGTCTCAACCACCTCATAACCACCTCATTAACATCAATACAGTTTTTGAAATACATACAACTGAGACATAGTAAAACAATGAGCAAGATCTCTGTTCACTAAAATCTTTTCCTGCAAACTGAAAAATGCCAATGAAAGTGCCGATGCATCTACAAAACAGACTAACTTCCAACAAGGTCACATGCTAAAACTTAATGAATACCCTTTTTATGTCCTCTTCTTGGAAGGAATCAGCAAAATCCATTGCAGAAGAGACGCTTTCTCTTGCACCTTTGACCTGAGTTGCAGCTAATACGACCTGCACGTAGTAACAAAATTGTACAGAGGAAGTGAATTTTCTGTTAAGTTTGATAATGCTGATTCATAAGCACAGAAAACATCAAGAAATCCATGCTTTGTAGCCTTGCTAGAAGTGTCCACACTCTCGTACCCTGAATATTATAATGCCAGGATAATGTGCAAGTTAAGAATACGATCGCAAATACTGCAGTCTCGAATTACCTTCAGAACATCTGGATCCCTCCAAGGACCCATGTCAGACTGCATACATCCACCTTCTTCTTCTGGACATTTGCAAGATCCACCAAGAAAATCTGGCAAATTACTGTTCCAACCAGGCAATGTTAAGTCATAAAATAAAACAAAATAAAAGTTCATGCGACAAGTCAAAGTGGTCTACTGCACAAAGACGAGTAATTCAAGTCTACAGTTACATGCCTCCACCAAATAAAATTTAAATCACCAGAATACTTCAAAGGTACAAGATCCAAATCAGAGAATATTATAATGGTTATATTTAACTTCTAATCATGCAAAACTACAAAGGACATTGAAACAGCTGAGGACCACCACCTTTCGTCAATAATCTCAAGCAGTTTCTTCTGATAGTTGTTCCCTATGACCTGTCAGAATAAATACATTCACACGTTCAAATAATAGTATCAGTTCATCAAAAGGTTATTGAAGTACAGCACAAATGTAGCTGGCTCATGAAATATAAAATAAACAAACTCAGAGGGATATACCGGATGTACAAGTGTAACTCCTAGCATATTCAACTTCGTAAGGTAATTTTAGAAGTAGAGCAAGCTGAATGAAGTCTTGGAGTAACGAATGCTACATACATGAATTTTTGCTGCAGTATGAGGATCCAAGAAGCCCTTAATAGTGCCCCAAAGCATTTTGAACCCTGGCCCAGCATTAACAATAAACAACTGTGCAAGCGTCTGCATAGCGATAAATCCCATAAAAAAAACATCAGCAACGTTCATGTATCACATAAGATGTCATTTACAGTACTTAACTTTCGAACTGGGGATGCACAAGTACCTCAGGATAATTGTCGTTGTCAACTTTCTGGATGGCAACAATCAAGTCTCGCGCAGGCTTACAGAAATTCTTCAGACCCTGCATTTAAAAAATGATACATGGGTTGTATAATTGCAAATTAAGAGTGTCACTGACAACTACAATAATGGTCATAACGATGATGGTAATAATGATAGCTTAAAAAACATCAATAATCACTACCCTTAATGATCACACAGTCGAGTGAGAATAGGGGAATGTATTACCACTCCAGCTACATCGAGAATGGTGGTAGTAGTGTGAATGGGGCGGTTGGCTGCAACAGAGCATGCTGGAAACTTCAAGTTTAGCAACTTCTCAAACTCTTGTACATGATATTTCAAATACCTATCAAGAGTGGTGACTTCCATCAAATTCTGCGCGTGAATTTTTCCAATCCTTTCAATATACACAGGTCTGCCTTCTTTATCCACTCCATGATACCCTTGAGGATAGTAATTCCTCACTTTGTCAATTTCAGTAAAAACGAAGTCCTGAAGAAACGAAACAAATATCATCAATGAGAACCGTTGTACATGTGGGCATGTAAAGCACCCCAATATCTCGAAGCATGTTCCAGTATCCTAAAACCAACAAATATCACACACTTCTCTACGGATTCGAAAGAGTACGATTCCTAATAACGGTTCAGGAATCACTAAGGTCTGTTATGGATTGGGATGAGCACTTCCACTGACTGGAAGCGGCAGTAATATCATTCTTAATTGCATATGCAATTGCAAGCAAATGAACGAGGGAGGCAAGAATACAAACTTAATGAACACTTGCCAGTCTAATATCTATATTGGACCCAGGTTTGCCAATCACCAGAGCAGTGTAAGCAAATCATCCCTACAATTGCATCGAGAGTAAAATTCCTGGCTTATACTAGCTGTACCAGAATTTATGAAGTGTTCATAATACCACTGTGATTCTTATTCAATTCAGATAAAATACACATCAATTAAAATTATATTGATTCAAAACTCTCAAGCACAATAGGATTGCAGATTGACAACGACCTCGTCAATTGTGTCTGTGCCAAACTCCGTGCGCCAAGCTAACATGTTTTTCCACATTTCTGCTGTCTTCTTGATGTCATATTTCCTTGCCTTGATAAACCTGCATAGGAAGAAACGAAATTTACAACAATTCAAGTTACGTTTTCAGTACAAGAACATTAAGCACTGAAATTAATGTCTAGATAACACTTTGCCCACTAAGAAACCAAGGTCGACATGTAAGGACTTATGCTCTATTTCGTACTTCTGGAAGAAAAAAGAAAATCATCCCCAGAACAGATCAGCACTAAATAGTTCGACCACAAGCCTCATAGAAACTCCCCACTTTGGCTATCGTATATTATGAGTTTCAAAACTACACCAAGAACAATACTTTGTCCTGAATGTCCTTGTCCTCAAGTAGTGCACAATTAAATGGTAATAATCAGATGAAGATCAAACTCCACTACTACTTTTTCGGTGACGGAATACCCACCTGAGGAAATCCACTGTGTAACAAGATGACTTTGCCCAAAAACGAGCGGATATCGACAACATCAAACTTGATTAACCTAAACTGCAACCTATAATACCTCGCAAAACAGAGTTACCTATTAAAATGGAAATCAAATATCAAGAACCGAATTATAAAGCACCAACCTCAGAAGAACATGGTAATCATCATGGTCATCCGGAAGTAAATTTCTGCTATTCAGCTCTCTGCGAAGTTCTTCGACTGCTTGCTGGTCCTTCGAATCGCGTATATCTTCGATAGGCAGTGACAAGTTCTTCGATCGATGAACACCACAACCGCGTCGTTTTTTAAGAGAATTACGAAACTTAGAGGTAGCTATGATGGCACGAATAGCTCCGAATTTTGCTCTACTGCAGCTGCCTCGAGGTGATTCACAATCGGCATTGTTGGAGGACACCGTGTGATCTGAATGTCCGCCGCGACTCCCATTCAATTCTAGACAACGATGAAAACAACGATGAATAACAGGTGCACACTCTTGTTGTTCTTTACATGCATCGGAGAAAAGCTAATCAATTTGTCAACGCTTGGTTGTCAAAGTGTAACTGTCAACACTAAATGTGCTTAGAAATCTTCACACCAACAAACTACCAGCGTATACATGAATAGAAACGATACTAACCTTGACTTTGAGCTCCCATGATGACCTAACACATGTAATCTACAGAACCCTCTGTCTTAGACTCCGAATTGCTTCAGTAAATATACTTGTCCAGAAAATTGCTGTCATGACGGAGGCATTTCAACACTCCTATATATACTTCACGCCGGAGTGCTCCACAGAAGCCCTGATCGCATCAAACAATTAGATGCTAAGTGGAATCTTACTGTCTTCATAGAATACTCAAGTCCAACCAAGATCAAAGACATCAGTGCACAGAAGAAAATCCCTGGAAGACTATTAGAGTTAGGTCTTACAATAACATTACAACAATGCTTACGTGTGGGTAAAATGTCATCAGTTACAAACTCGTTAAGTTCTAAAAACACAGGTTTAAAGACCATAATGCTCCAACAAGGATCGAGTTACTATCTTCTTCACATGAAACTCACGAGACTTAAGATCTACACAACCTCTTTCAAAAAGAGCCTGCCAGTAAAGAGCAAGTCTGTGTTAATTTGAAGTTCAGTGGATAGGGAACGAGAAACCATAAGTACGCGGAAATCACGTCCGTCACGTAGTGCTTCACTCTAGAAATGAGATTTATTTATTTCGAGAAAATTTTGTCAATCATGCGAAATTCGTTCTCGAGGACGTTCGACCAAATCGAATATAGAAACGAAAAGAAACAAATGTTACATAAATTCATTTTTTCTGAAATTCTGACAACACTCTCTCAATCCTCGCCACATTCTCAATTCGCTAGAAAAGAGAAAACTCGAATTACTCTTTCAAACATCACGAAATCACTCGCTTCCGTCCACGCTGTTCACGGTAAACAATAGCACCCCTGCCCCTTACCCCCTATCCCCACAACCCAATACAAAAAACAATCTCTAACCCTGAAAATCCGCACTTCCCTCGGATTCCGTCCGCTAACACCTCCAAGGCCTTCAAACTAAGACTCTCCATCCTCACAATGTCATTCTCTCACAATGCTCGTCCTCAAGAAAACGAAATGATAATCATCACCATCGCACCACCTCCAATAATGTCACCGACATCACTCCTCACCAGAGCTCGCACCTTCTTGTCCCCTATCGCCTCCTATCACCTCATCCCCTTTGTCTTCTCTTCCTCTCAACTTCCCTCAACCATCAACTCACTCAACAACCTGTGGATCACGACCATAAACAAACACTTCCAATCACTATCACGCGGTGCCGAAACCGAAAAAGAAGCAACATAATGGGACGCTTACAACTCACCTCCAAAGCGGGCGGCCAATTTCGCAAGTGACAGCAAATAGAAGGACGCCGGAGCGACCTCGCAAGAACGCTAACCGATCTGCGGGGGCTGCTGCAGCCGCTAACTCCGCGCTTCAGTCCCGGCAATCAAACCGCGACGAGGGGAGGGACTCAGCAAAGAGAGGGGCTAAAGGCGCCCTCGCTCACCGCGTTACGCCTCGAAGGACAGCAAGCAGCGACTGACAGACGGGGGTTCGAATATAGGGCATCCGGCGGTACTCGGTCGTCGCTGTCCGATGCATCAGGCCCTGTAAGACGCCGTTACAGGCTGACATCGCGCCTGCCGCTGCGGCTTCTCTACGCCACTCTGCCGCGCGGCTGCGTCAAACCCCCCAATAGTTGCTTGAATTAAGTGGCCGTTTGAAAGGGAACCTTTTGTGCTGGTCCACTTTGTGGCCTGGGATTGTGATTGCTGGGATTATTCCCTTGTTAATTCTTGCATCGTGACCATGATTCTCTCCAAATATGTCACCTTTATTATTGTTTTCTTTATTACATCTTCTTGTTGCTATTTTCTCCTTTTGGACACTGTTGGGCTGTGGAAACTTGAATCATTTATCACCTATTTCATGATTAAAAGTCGTGTGGGTTTCGAGTTTGGATTTGAAATTTTGATGGAATCTTCTCCTATTGTTTATTTGTTTATTTTGTTTGGTTTCTTCGATGTGAATCCTAACGTCTCCTCAAGAATAATTCTGTTTACTGTATAATAGAGTTACATGCTTCACAATTATTATTGTTATTATTGTTACGATTCTTATTGCAACTGTTGGGGTTTTCTGCACTAGTGAAAACATCTCTAATCCAGCAACACTTAATGTTCATAATCGGAAAGTTTTATTAATCTAGGAGCATTCTTTAATGGTTTTTAATAGAAATCCTTTCATATTATGCGTCATTGTCAGTATACTGTTTTATGACTAGTAAGTGATGTTATTTCTATTTGATGCAATTTTAATTCAAGATTAGATATTTCTACTGAAAGAATTATTCCTAATACTACATTAGTTTGTAAGTAAAGAAAATGTAACCGTTGAACTCAATGAAGCACAAGAAATGTTATCCAATAATTTTAATGACTTTAGATTTTAAAACTTTAAATAATTCTTGAAATGTTTGAAGATTTTTTGTTATTATATTTTAATTATTAAAATAGAGTGTGTATCAAGTTTTCAAAGAAGTCCATTCTAGAAGTTTGAATGACAAATCTTTAAAAGCTTGACTCACAAGTTTTTAGATTTCCAAATAAAAGGACAAGTAGATTTTGACTGAAGCAAACTTTGTTTGCACATTTTGTTCCCTTAAAATTGCAATTTAAATTGTAAATTTTAAACTTTTTAACAGTAGAAATAAAAATCATGACCAGTAAAATACATCATTAAAAGGTCAATATTTATTTGTATTAGTTGAAGTACAATTTGCATGTCAATGAGTTTTGAATTAAAAATTGGATTGGATTTGTCAAAAAAAAACCCAAACATAATATAATATTTAGATAAATTATTAAACACATATATGTGTATATATATCTATTATATAAAATAGTTTGGGTAGAAGACAAAGAAGTCTTCTCATAGGCCCAACATGGGAATGAGGGAATACGGATGAATGAGGGAACATGGATGGATGGTACTGCCAAAGATCGCAATGCCCAACATCACAAGTTTTCATCAGTATATATGAATATATATGAGTTCATTCCACAAGATAAATAATTAAATTAAATTACACGTAATATTTTTATTATTTCAAAGCTTGTTTCAATCTTGATAATCACCTCTTTTCCAGAAAAAAATATAGAAATAGAAAATTAAGATCTCAAAATTTTTCATTTGAAAGCACATCTTTGCACTTTCGAACCACATTTCATGCATTCAAGTCATTGTGACCACCTTGATACAACCATGATCAACACAAAAATGTGACTTCAAAGAGCCAACAACGTGAAACACATAAAGACTACAAGGCAAATATAAATAGAGAGAAGTAAAAGACAGACAGACGGACAGACAGAAAGAGAAAGAATTGTGAATTATTGGGGGATTGGCTGTGGGACGTTGAACACATGGCAGCCTGGGCAATAACTCAATGTGGACGAATGATGTCGTACAAACGAATGAAATATTTCATCCATCTTGTTTTGCGAAGCTCACCTTCTCCGGAGATACGCCAGGCTCGAAAGCAATAATGAGACTTCCGCAATCGCAAAATTCGATGAGTTGCTGACCCACCAATCGCAAGACGGGGTCGCGGGAATGCTGGGGAATTGTTCGGGATCATCGAGCAAGGGGGCAGCATTGGGCGCTCCTCGTTCATCCGCTTTGCTACGACCTGATTGTAATTTTTTCGCTTGCCTCGGAGCGTGTCGACCGTGTACACACGCGCCTTGGATGAGCGCTTTACGTATCATCGATTGAAAGAAAGGGTGTCAGACTCTACTTGCACAGCTGCTTTCTTCGAGGAATTGGTTTGTGCTCGGGGTGTGAGTCATCGTGTGGTAGCCCTGCATGGTTTAGGATTGAAACCGAGTGTCCTGGATATAATTTCGGCAACTTTTGAGCGAAAATTAGAATCTCGGGATGCAGTGAGATACAATAGTAATTTTGACGAAGAAACTACGGTCTCATCATCCCGCATCTCCACCTCCAGCACATGCACCCACTCAGCCTCTTCATGCCGTCACCGTCGTAAGTTCAGTCGGTATTCGGACTTTGGAAGCAGTTCCGAATTCAACTTCCAAGTGGTGATATGTCGGCATGCGATTGCCTATTTATACATCCTCCGCCTCAGATTTGGGTGACTTTTGACCACAGAATTAGTCGCATCAGAAAACTCGCAAGTCACTTCAGAAGGACGCTTGGAAACAGTTTCCAAGGATTGCCGAATTCGATACATTACTTTGTGCTCCATTGAAAGCTATGGTTGATTGTGTATGAGCTTTTTCCTACGGCAATTCGTGTGGCGGTCGGTAACTGTTGCAGTCAAGGGTTACTGACGGTGGGACGGCAAGTTGAAATAACCTTAGGACTCTGCATCACTCGGCCTTCCCAGTTTCGGTGTAATTCGTCGAAGATCCATCGCTGCCACGATCTAATGATACCAAAAAAGCACAGCATCATCAGCCATATAAGGGTGTGAGTAGATTCTTTTTCTCCATATTTGCCCCTGACATTTACTATTATGAATTATGCTGCATGACAAATTATTACATGTTGATGTCTGTTGGGTTTGATTAAGGTTGGTATCATTATTGTTTGTACTTTTGCAAAACAAGGGAGATGTTGTTTTGTATTGAATGAGGTCGACTTTGCTACAAAAGTAACAGGGGGCATAAACAGAACAGAGTGAATTGGGTAATGAATTTAATGAATAGATCTACAATGTCTTATAGTGAGAGAGATCATTCGTTTGGAGTTTTATTTTTTTAATTTATTTTAAATGCATTCTTTTTTAAAGGCGGGGGAGTGAATTTTTATTATATATATATATATATATATATTTATGTATATATATTGTGTTTAAGGTATGTTGTATTGTGCCCTTGTTTAATAAATCATTAGTTGGAAATTATTATTATTAATGATGAATGTAATATATATATATATATATATATATATATAGTATTAAATGAAGATGTGCCAGTAGAAATCCAGCATTTTAGAAAGAAATTGCATACACATATTTGTATGGTTTATTTATTTATTTGTGTAAATAACCTTTTTTCATTTTTTTCTTTTTTCAAATTCACTTGTCTTTATTTTTCAACCAAGGATGCATGTTGGCAACTAGCCAAATCAATTTCGTTAGAGTGTAGTTTTAGATAAATATTTTATTAAGAAACTTAATCACAAAATTTGACATTTGATTCCTTTCTAAATACACATATCCATGATAACATCTTTAATCAAAACATCAAAGATTACATTATTTGTCACCAGAGTACCGTTAAATCATTGATAAATTTTGCAAATCAAGATCTTGAACTACATACTTATTTGCACAGTAACTTTGATCACAAAAACCTCCATGTTTGCAACCAACACTCAAGCGAGGCATGAAATCACATACAAAACCAGATTTACAGATGGAAAACCAAGCTACATCATCACAAATCATCCCAATCCTTAAAAAGACCCACACACCATACAAAACCTGCTCAAAAGAAACTATTAGCTGAACTGATGCTCTGCAACATACACTCACACACAAAAAAAAAAAAAAAGAAAAAAAAAAAAGAAAAAAAGAAAAAAAAAACTAGTCAAGGTTTGCATTGGTTATTATCATTATTAAAGTGAAAAAGGCTATTCACAGACCTCTGACGTGTCCGATTACCACACGTACGAAAGCGTCCACTTATAACAGGCTTGCCACGTGCTGTATAAAAATGGAGAGACCGGCTGTGGTTCCGAGGTCGAGGCGGGGGCAAGATGTGGAAGTGTCGGAGTCGCGAGGCGGGGGTTGTGGAGGCGCCATTGCTGGACTGCAGGAACCCAACCACAGACCTGGGAGCCTGCTCCTGCTGCTTTGTGCTGGAGGTGGTGGTCGTTGTCGCGGTGTGCGTGTGCTGGGCCATATTGCAGACTTTGCACCCACCACAACCACGACTGCCGGTGCTTCATCCCTTTAGTTCATGCTATGTCCCACCTCCCCTTTCTCACACCCAATCGTCAACTGGAAGCCGCGTCGTCGCTATTGCTTATTCGCACACCCACCAAGCAAGTCTGTCTGTCTGTCTGTGTCCTTCTCAGGTCCTGATGTTGTTGCCCTCTCTGCGCTCGTATTTCTACCCCTGTCACGTAGTTGTGTGATCGTGAGCTTGTTTTGATTTGCTGGCGGTGAATAATGCATCGAAGCAAAGTACATGAGTGTATGTTGATCGTGCTGTGAGTGAGCGAGTTTCGCTCGAGTCCCGGGTTGGATTTTGTGGGTTGTGGAGGGTTTGTATAGGCGAGGGTGTGGTGCGGTTCCTATCAATGTGGGTGGGTCTGGGTTGCAGGTGGTGTGGACCCTCACTCCAGAGAAAACTGGAACGGTACCAAGAGTGTCGATGGATCTTCAATCTGGTTAAGGCAGATACTGCATATAATCTTGTTGGAAGGGCCGACAAAGCCGTGATTTAATATCGTTCCGATGCTCTGGTTGTCGAATTTAACCCTTTTCAAAACCTTCTATTTTCA